AAGCCTGTTGATGTGATTCTTGGGAATTTTTAAAAATGTATCAAATTTTCATAGATTTCAAAATTATTTAAAGGAAGAAATAAAGATTCAAATATTAACAGGCTTCGACACGCTATCAACGGTTGCCAAACTTGTGTATGTGAGTGTAACTCGTCTGTGTACAGTGGAGGGGGTTCATCAGACTCCTGGATGGACTTATTCAATTGGTCCCAACATCTTCACCCTCATATATGCAGAAATTGTGTTTATCAGAGTGGAGTTTTTTCTTCTTGTACGTTCATATAAAGAAGGTCAAAATATTTATTTTAAGGATAAAAGTAATAAATGAACAGTAAATTATGCAAACGTGCATGTCACTGCTAGTCAAATATATCTGTTATCAAAGTATTGCTTGAGTATCAAAGAACGGTGATAAATATTTTTATCCTTGTGGTCCATTTTCCAAAGTGATACAAATAAACAGGACTATGATCGCGATTTCAGCGGGAACTTGCTCGCGACCTTAAAGTCATAGCGGGGCTTTGGATACTACCCGTGAAGTTGGTTGCAGTTGGTATTAAATACAGTCCAGTGTTCCGCTCTGTACAAGGACCTGTGGACTGTATATGTAAAGAAGCTCATATATACTGACGGATGCTAATTAAGTTGCTTAGAGCAAATGTAAGTTTCTTGCATTGGTTTTTTATCTATTGATATGTTCAAGCTTTGCATTAAAATATGACAAGGCAATGAGAGACCGACACAAAATGTGGAAAGTATATTTTAAAAGAATGAATACAATGTGTGCGTGACCTGCTCCCGTGAGCGCGTTCAGATGATATTTCTTATCATATAAGATCACCCCATGCACACAGATCGCGTAAAATTACATTCGTATGATGCGAGACTTGACATTCACCAGGAAAGTAGAAACATTTTGTCACCTATGAGGCAAATTATTTTTTACTGCTTAATAAATGGTCAAGGACAGTTACATTGAGTTCTATAAGTATGAGAATATGACGTCTTGATATTTCAAGGTAACTCATTCGAAAAGTGTTGGTGGTGATCGAAATTACGATGTAAAGAAATGAAAACGAGGTAAAATAATGAAATATTTGTAGATTTCTCTGAAAAACTAAGAAATAAACATCACATATCGAATTTTTCAAACCAGACAAAACATGTATAAGAAGTAAGGCCTGCAGGTCAGATTCCCCCTGGTAGCATTAACATTGGTCTCATGCACGTCATACAATTATTATTTGAAATACAACTATCATTCGAACTTATGATCGGACATTAGTATGATGTTGCTTTATTAATATCACATTGATGTACTTTGCTGGTGAATGTCGAGTCTCACATCATACGAATGTACTTTTAGGCGATCTGTCTGCATTGGGTGAAGATGTGTTTCTGCGCATGTAAGATTTGCTTAATTTCAAATATTAGTCATATCGACGTGTGATGTCATGAAAACTACCTTTACTCCAGTAAAACCGCTGTAAATTTTCATAAATAAATGAAAAAATTGCACACCAGAGCAAACCTGGTGTAATCAATAGCCATTGGTAAGTAAAACAACATATCAAAAATCTAGAAAAATCTAAGTAGTGGAAAACCTTAAAATCACCATTTATACCCCCTGGGGTAATTTTATGAAGGGGTACTGTGATAAACATTAATAATTCCTGTTATATAACTTCAATCACAATGAAATCTTCAGGGATCATCCACATATATATAGTTAGTTGTCACAGCAAGTTTGATATCAATTGGTCAATTGGTTACTATATCAACACAATTTAATTGCTCAAATCTTTAATAGTTCAGGTAAATCCGAAGCTTCCTATAATAATAGATGTTGTCATTTCTCTTCAAATCATTTAAAAATGAACATCAAGTTACCCTAAAAACATATTTGGGGAGTGTTTAATAAGATAGCATCATTAATATGATGAATTATATGATAACTTTGACTCTGTACTCTATTCTATTAGGTGACTACCACTCTATCTACCCAAAAGTGGGCGTGGCACTTTTTGGTGATAAATTCATAAAAATGACATTTCTACAGAATCAATCACAGTGATATTTATAGTGCTTATGGATACCGATGTTATTCTTTAATATGGTGAGTCTGTACTTGATTGATCAAGGGTTGCCATAGTAACAGACCATAATAAACGCAAATAGTGTACTGCAATATGTTATTTTATAACATGGAATATGATTCTACCCCCAGCATATATGATGTGCTTCAATACCAAGAACATATCATCTGATAGCTTAATATGGTAGAGCCTTAGACCATAGTTCAGATACAAGAGCCTAAGCTGGCTCATCTTAAATAGTATATAGATGATATAGCCTCAAGAGTATAAGATGGGTGCAGTCTCAAGAATATAATATGGTACAGCCTCTAGAGTGTAACATGTATTCAGCATCAAGAGTCAAAGATGCTACAAAATTCTTAATCTATGATTGCTATAGCATTAAGAGCCTAGGATGAGAACAGCCTCTATGAGTCTAAGATGGTACAGTCTCCAGACCCCTAGATGATACAGCCTTTAGATATAACATGGGATCTGTCTCCAGAGATGGTAGACCCTTCAAAAGCTGATTGCTATAGCATTCAGAACCTAGGATGGGTACAGTCTTCACGAGTCTCCAGTCTCAGATGGTGCAGCCTCCAGACATAATATGGGATCAGTTTCCAGGGTCTAAGATGGTACAGCCTTCAGACCCTGAGAAAGTTCAGCCTCCAGATATGAGAAAATGGTTTAGTCTATGAGTATAACAATCAGAGTCTAATATGGCTTTAGCCACAAGAGTCTAATGGGTACATCTTCTTCTATGATGGGTAGAACCTCCATTCCCAAGAGTATAAGATGGTCCAGCCTCTATCATCAAAAATTGACACAGCCTAGTGTCTACTTTCTAATATGGTACAACCTCCAGAGTATAATATGAATTCATCCTTCAGAGACTAATATGGTGTAGAATTAATATGGATTCAGCCTCTAGAGTCAAAGATGAAAATCAGAGTCTAAGATGGTACAGCCACCAGAGTATAGTATGAATTCAGCCTCTAGACTAATATGATGTAACTTCAGAGTATAATATGGATTCAACCTGTAGAACCAAATATAGTACAGCCACAATAGTACCTGATTTCTATGACAGTCAGAGTCCAAGATAGGTACAGCCTCCAAGATTCTAAGATAGTACAGCCTATAAGAGTCTGAGTTGGTATAGCCTCCAAGAGTCTACAATGGGTAAAGCCTTCAAGAGTCAAAGATGGTTTAGCCTCCAGAGCCTTTGATGAGTTCTGGGAATAGCCTTCAAGAGAAGATGGTACACTTTTCAGATGCAGTGTCTATGATGGGTAAAGCCCCTAAGAGTCTAAGATAGTACAGCCTCTCCAGAGTCTATTATGGGTATAGTCTCCAAGAGTCTAAGATGGTACAGCCTCTAGAGGCTTAGAGGGTTTAGCCTTAAGTGTTTAATGGGTACATCCTCAATAGTCTACAATGGGTACAGCATCCATAATCTAAGATTCATACAGTTTACAGAGTCTAAGTTGGTACATCTTCTAGAGTCTAAGATGTCAAGAATCGACATTTTGTCACATCTAACACCAATCTGTTATTAATAAATGGGTCTAAGATTGCACAGCCTCTAGAGTCTTAGAGGGTTTAGCCTTTAATGTTTAATGGGTACATCCTCCAGAGTCTACAATGGGTACAGCATCCATAATCTAAGATTGATACAGCCTACAGAGTCTAAGTTGGTACATCTTCTAGAGTCTTAGATGTCAGGAATCACCATTTAGTCACATATAACACCAAGCTGAGATAAATAAATGGGTCTAAGATGGCACAGTCTCTAGAGTCTTAGAGGGTTTAGCCTCTAATGTTTAATGGTATATCCTCCAAAGTCTACAATGGGCACAGCATTCATAATCTAAGATTGATACAGCCTACAGAGTCTAAGTTGGTACATCTTCTAGAGTCTTAGATGTTACATATAACACCAATATGTGTTTAATAAATGGGTCAGGAAATGCTTTGACAGACTGACGGGCAGACGGACAAACAGAGCAGTATTATAACAAACAGCATTATTAGTTGTGTTAACACAGCAAACGCGTATCAATATCATCCAAACTTGTATTTGTTAAAAAAGATTATACACTAAAACATTTCTTAGGGATGGATGCAACAAACAATTTGTTAAGGTATAAGGATTGCCTGAAATGATCTCTACCCACATCCTATTTACATACATTATCTTGTGTTACTATGGCAACCAATTGACAAAACATGTTTAGACTCACCATACCAGGTAATAACATGTGTATCAATCTGTCAATGAGCCTTGTAAATATGATTCTGTAAACATGGAATTATTTTGAAATGTAATAAAAAAGCGCCACGCCCACTTTGTGGTAAATCGCTCAGTAGTTATCAAACATGAATAGAGTCCAAAGCCAAATATGTCAACCTATTCATAGATTACTAGTAATCATGTTATCTTGTTGTAAACACCTTCAATATGTATTAAGCTCAACTTTGCATTCATTTTGAAAAATTAAAAATGACGAGCTACCATCCGTTTGTAGAGACACGGTTGATTTATCCTTAATATTTTCAATATTTTGCAGTTCAATTGTGTTGCCATGGTAACCAATTGTCCAATCAAGATTAAACTTTACATGACTACTAACCAAACATAGATGCATGATCTCTGAAAATTTGAATATGATTGGAGGCACATAACAGAAAATATAAATGCTTATCATAGTACCCCTCATAAAATAAGATCAGGGGGTACAAATAGTGATTTTTACATGTTTTCCACTACTTAGATTTTTCTAGATTTTTGATATGTGTTTTAACTCATCAATATGCATTTATTGCACTAGGTTTAATTAGGTGTGCAATTTTTTCATTTATTTTTGATAATTTTACTGGAGTACTTGTATATGTTATAACATTTCTCATCTGGAGTTGATTTGACAGAGACAAAGATGATGACAAAGAGCTTGTCACCTGCATTGTTTATGGCAGTGTTGATCATTGGAACCTGTAGCCTACCAGTTGATAACAACGCAGACAGTGCAGATGATGTACTGGCACAGTTATTGAAGCAGCGCGAACTTTCAAAGGAAGAAAAGTTAGAGGTGTTGAAGCAGCGCAAACTTTCCGATGAAGAAAAAGAAGAACTGTTAAAGCTGCTATACGATTTGAAGGTACGTTGGTGCTAATTGTGTTCTTGGTAAAAGCCAAATCACATCAGAGGAGACGAGTATCACACAGTAATATTTAGATGAATAATTACAAGACAGATGCTTTTCCTGTATGCTTGCTTCCACATATCAGTATTTCTTGACTTTGGCATTTACCCTAATTTTACGTGATTTGCATCATGAAGATAAGAATACTTTCCTTAAAAATAATAAAATACACCCTTGTTTTCATTCTTTCTTTTGAATCACAGAAAACTGGTTTGAACGTTACATTGCACTGCTAGGATAGAAAAATGAGTTCGGCAACAATGGAATAATATACTTACCACTGGGCTTTTATTTTGGATAAAGACGTATGAATATTTCTATAGATTGCATGTCACTAATCATAAACTAAAATTAGAAAAATGCCCATGAAAGAAGTTGTGAAAGGCCGAAAGAATGACAGAAATATAAAAGAGTTTTTGATGTAAAAATACAAACTGCAGATGCTTAAACAAGGCATTAGCATGATAAAATGTTACCACCTAGTTGCTCACAATATACAATCGAATGTCAGATTTTAATTTTTGAGCACTTGTAGCTGGTCCAGAAAAAATTGGTCAATTTGAAGCCAGTTGAAAAATACATTTTTGACTTGTTTGGTGGTGGGTTATATCCTTTTTTGAGGTGCTAGCTTTAATGTCCCCGAAATGGTCTCAGATAGTACTTGTTTAATCTCTTGTACTTTTCTCTGCTGTTGTGTTTTGCTACTCTTGTTGTTTGTAGTTTAAAAGGTCATTGAAGGGCAACTCTCAGATTTGAACTTCTGAGAAATTGTAGATTATTTTGAAAAGATTGGTCAATTTTAAGCAAGTTGGTAAGAGACCTAATCACCTAATTGACCCTTTTACCACCAGAAGGACATTGAAGGTCAAGCCTTAAATCTAACAATCAGATGTGAACTCCTGCGAACTTAGAGATGATTTTGAAAGAAAATAGGTCAATTTGAAGCAAGTTGAAAAATACCTTTTTGACCTTTTTTTGCTTTGATAAGGCCATTGAATGTCAAATCCCTAATCTAATGTCAGATTTGAACTTCTGAGAACTTGTAAATGATTTTGAAAACTGGTCAAATTTGGTCAATTTGAAGCAATTTAAAAATACAATTTTGTGTTTTTGTGAACTTGAGAAGGTCAAATCTAAAGTCAGATTTGGATTTCTGAGAACTTAAGAAGTTTTTGAAAAGTTGGTCGATTTAAAGCAAGTTGAAAAAATACCTATTTGACATTTTTGACCTTTAGAAGGGCATTGAAGGTCCAATATTACATATATACCAATCAGATGTGAATATATATGATGTGGTATATAAGCAACGGTGTAGCATCATATAGTTTGTTATTTTATGATGGATCAAACATTCCATTCAGGGACTATTCCTCCCCTATAGATTTTAGGTTTTTGAGGATCAAAGAAAGCATTCTTCCCACTTTAAAACTATGGATAACTTCCAAAATTACCAGTTATAAATGGGATGCCTACGGCATTGAATTCGAAATTGATGAAAACAATATTATTTAATTAATAATTTTCAAACATGTACATTGTTCATTTTTCTATTTTGAAGGAAGGACCCTCGAAAGAGCTCCTAAGTCTTATCAAAGAATACAACCTTGAAGGATTGCTTGAAGGCACTGATAGTAACGTTAATGAAACTCCCGAAAAACATGTTTCCAACCACAAGGCACACACAAAGCATACCAAAAAGAAGAAAAAGACGTCAGCCAATGAAGCATCAAATAAAGTTTTGGATGAAGCACTAGTTATGAAGTCTCTGGAACACATGGCTGGTAAGAGAAAGACATCTTAATGTTTTTTTTCTCATTTGATCTTAGTAGAGACGTTTCTTTTGCTTGATATGTCATTAAATAGTCGTCCATCTCAGATGATTCCAATATTGTACTGTAATCACATATATTAGAATCGTAATAAGTATTGTTGTTTGTGTAGTCTAGTATATATATGTCATATTTTTAGCTCTTACCGCGTGGTGTGCTGGTCTGAAGGAGTTAGGACCAAAAATAGATGTCACCGAAGAGGCGTTGAAAAACAGAGTATTGGCTGGTTATATCGAAGGTGCTGTAGAAATTGTTAGCCGTAATCTGGAAATGATCGGTACGAATAAATGATGACACTTGAATAATGAATAACTACAGTAGATTGTACTTTTGTTCACAAAATAGTGTGTGGCCAATCTTCTTATCAGTATACAAATCTATCAAAACTTGTATTTCTTATTCTTTATTAATAAGTGCTATAAATATCGTCTCAACAAAAACAATTTAGTATTTGCTTAATACAATACTCTCGGTAATTTTCACGAGTTTTGAAAAATCAAATTTCGGCGCTATTAAATTTCGCCGATTTAACTATTTTTTTAGTGCAATAAATATCCTCTTAACAAACAATTAAGTATATTTGCTAATACGCTTATAATTCGAAAATTTGAATTATTGCAAAATATGAGGCACTGTTGAATATGGTTCATAGTAGAATTTAAATTTTCTTGGGAAAATGTGGCATGCTTATCACATGTTATAAAAGTATTTATTCATAAACGCCACAGGAGACAATGAAGGGAGCGCTGAGGGATCTGCTGAAAATGATGGAAGTGATCGTATCGACGATGATAAAGACATGGATATGTCCAAGATATCGGAAAAGATCTCGAATAAGATGCGTGAGATTTGTACTTCTTTGAACAGCCTTGAAGCTATTGGCGCAAAAGTAAGTAGCATTTTTAAATCAAGTAAAAACTCAATGAATCATGCATGCATGCATTCAATTGAAATACCATTGTCTTAAGATTTATTTTTTATTCTAATTATTATAAAGCAAACAGTGGCCTAAGTCATTTTCTTTCCTTTACACGATTTTCAATAATTCAACTTATTGTAAGTGATCCAAGCAAAAAACAGTATTACTCAAAGGGGTAGCCAATTCAAAAGAACAAATGATCACTAAAACTGAATCATGTCAAAAGTTTGAAAGATGTTACAAGAAACGTTAACGTTTAGCCCCTCAAGTATTCTAAAAAGGTGTTACAAGTTGATATGTGAAATCTTTTGGAACCATCAAGTCCTTTGAAACTAATTACTTTCAGATTGAAGCAGGTGTGGCGAAAAAGAAAATGGTTGACGGTTTGAACGTTGAGACCAGAACCCATGAAAATCAAATTGAAGCTGGTGTGGCGGAAACGAAATTAGTCGGTGGTTTGGAAGTTAAGACCAGAAATAGATCTCCAATTTCCAGAAGTTTCAAAGAAGATCAAGGGGCCGGCAGTCTACAGAAGACGGGGGAAATGGCACACCTAGCCAGGGACGTTGGGTACGAGATCGAGCTTAATAAACTGATTGAAGAACTTAGTGATAGCGCTCGGCCAATAGAGGAGCATAAGAAGAATGCGCTTGAAAAGAAGAATACGCTTGAAAAGGAGGTACAATTGCTCCGTTTTAATGAAAATCAAAATTCAAAGACAATTTGACTATTTTCTTTCGAATAACATAAATTCTATCTAACGAAAATGTGTAAGCATTTTCCCAAATAATATTATGAAATGTTAGAGTTTTATTTTCTGTATTGTTTCATTTGACAAGTTCGCTGTAATGGCACTTTATATGGTATGGCTTGTTTATTGGCTTCATATCACATTGGCGTTGTGCAGTTTTATTTAACATGACATCAAACTTTATTTGGTATGATTTCATATGACATCAATGTTGTACTTCATTTGCAATTGATATTTATGGTTTCATATTACTTGTGGGATACAAAATATTTGGTATAGTTTTCCTTATCATGAGGCTTTCGCAATACATGATCATTTGATTTCATAACAACATTGGTTCTCCTGCACATTTTTTATTGCTACGGGCCGGGTGTTTGAGATACTTAATTTGACATTTCTTTGTCTTTTATTTCTAGAAAAACGTTGAGGAACGTATCGAAGAATTACTTTTGAATCGTCTGGCACATTCTAGGAAACAATAAGTTAAAAGTGACTGAGCCCGGGATGGTGATGACGCAGATATATCTCATACTCGTTTCCCAGTTTGATTTTTAATTATGAAAACATCATACCTTGGAAATCCAAGATGGATATATCTCCTAATTAGATTCAGTGATTTATATAGTATTCACACATAGCTAGGCAAGGTGTGTCCAATACCAGCCAATCAGAACACGCAATTTCACGTAACTGCATTCCATCAGATAACCAATAATTCACCCAAGGTCACTCCTTCTAGATTATATTGAAACTAATGAACTGAGTTCATATTTGAGTAAAATATCGGCACTATTAAATAGTATCATAGGGAATAACAAGCTTCATGTATGTGCTACTGCAGGTCAAATGTTAAAGTGTTGTATGGTTGCCATGATGACAATCCATGATACCAACTGACACAAACAGAAGTGACCTTTGCAAAAGGTCTCCTTGAAATATATTTTTTAGGTCATTTCATATCTTTTAAGTAATTGTATAAAATATTTTGAAATGTTTGGAAAGAATTGAAGTCCATGTACTCAATGCATTGTGGAATGACCATTCTTTTCAGGCGTTGTTTCCTAAAATTAACACTCGATGCAAGCATCTCGTGCAAATTTTGGAAAGCAACACCTTCAAGGAATAGTAATTCCACATTTCATTGAGTACATGGCTTAAATCCTTAAATACGTTGCTACCTTTTTAACCCGGACACTGGTGGTCCGCTCGATAACGCTGGTTACCGAAACGGTTCGTCGTTTTGGTAACAAAATGTCGGAACGTCGAAGGTACGATTTTTCTTTTTTCCTTATTTCACGCGTTGTAGGCAGAATCCCCACGACGTTTTTCTCACAAATGTGTATCAGCATCATATGTTTTAGAAAATGTACATGTTTGTGAAAAAAAGGTTAAAAGTGCGGATCTCAACTGTTTTTCGAAAAACCGTTTATGTAACTTAAGTGAGGAATTAAATCTATGATTCTGTCGTCTTCTGAACTATTTGTTCGCAAATATGTACATTTTCTTAAACATATGATACTGACACACGTTTGTCTTAATAAAAATGTCGTGGGAATTCTGCCTACAACGTGTGAAATAAGGTAAAAAGAAAAATCGTACCTTCGATGTTCCGACATTTTGTTACCAAAACGAACCGTTTCGGTAACCAGCGTAATCGAGTGGATCACCAGTGCCGGATGCAGTCAATGTATCTTTCATTACACGAAATATTGATGGAACGCTGATAGTAATACAGTATTCGTGTTCATATATGATTGCTTCGGGAATGAAGTAAGCTTTGTCTCAAAAATAGATACATTAAGGAATTTTGCGGACAAGCATTGTCGTGTAAATCAAGATCAGATCGCAAATTGGGGGTCAAAAATGGTAAAAATGATTTGCCTTATCTGGTACTTTTGCAAATCTAAATCTGTCATATCTTTTCTCTAGAATCCCCGAATTCCATTAAGTAATGATGTATAGTAAAGATGTTACAGCTGTTTTAAGTTGTATACCAAGGAGGTAGAATTGGCATGTTGCGGACACTGAATAATAATCACATGCATTCAATAAAGCACATAAAACAATCAGAAATCAAAATACTCCTTGTTATTATAATTTATCTGATCTACAAAAGAAACAAATACAAGAAAATCATAAGTTCTTTTCATGAACACACCATATATTTAAAAAAAAAAAATATATATCAAATGCCTTTATTATTGACATTCAAATGGTATTGCATCTTTGACAATATCAATACTTTTCAATCATCATACCATTAACTTATGACCTCAGCAAACATTTATCCACAAGTCAATACTTTGTAAAATACCTAATCCTCCGTTTAAGCAACAGTTGAGGAACAATTATCTTTTCAATACAATATAGAATATTTATACAAGAACAGTACCCAAACGTTGCGGACACTGAATTAGTTCATTAAAGATTCAACTTGTTATATACTAAAAGTTGCCATACCATGTCTGTCATCCAAAATGCCTGATAATTTTGTTTTTCTGACACTTTCACTGTCATAATTCAATGATCATTATGATGTAACAGGTATGACAGGTGCAACAAAGGGTATATTTTGGGCCTTTTTCATCATTATGAAGGGTCACTCTTGAAAAGTGCATATTTCGATGGTTTGTGAAAAGTGTATAATGTATTTTGTTTCCACATATTTGTTAAACAATGATATAAACTTCTTTTCTTCTTTGTTTTGCAGGTTATTTTAATGAAATCGGACTACAAAATCCTGAATTAAGGTACAGCTGGAAAATAACATTTTGGTAAAAATTGCTATACCTGCATATGTTATTTTCTGGTACAAAATTAAGTATGAAGGCATGTGTGTGTTTCCTTGCTTTTTTCAGTAAAGTATCATTACACTGTCTACTTTTAGTAAACCTGGATACAGGTCAATGGTAGCTCCTGTAGTTGTCTGGAAACTTTGAAAGAAAATTTGGAAAAATAGAAAGTGTGAAATATCAGAATTTCCTGGAGTTCCCATTGAACTCCTACTATATATTCTTAAAGGAGACAATGCAATGATACTTTCCTGAAAAAAGCAAGGCAATTGACACATGTCTTCATACTTTATTTTGTACCAGAAAATAACATGTGCTGGTATAGCAATTTTTTACCAAAATGTTACTTTCCAGCTGTACCTTAAGGTCAGGGTGCATGATGGGAAATTTTCTGCATTCCTCAATTGAGTCACATGTTATTTTTCAAACAAGAATCACTCCTTCCCTTCATTGTCTATATCTTCCAGTTTTGCACAAAGAGTGCACCTATGTGCCTAGAAAAGACTTGTGAGAAGAATGTTTTGATAAAGTGTATAAAAAACAAGAAAATTCAGTGAAAAAAATCAGAAAATTTCAGAAATTTTTTTCACTGAATTTTCTCATTTTTTATACATTTTACAAAACAAACCTTCTCACAAGGCTTTTCTAGGCACAGAAGTGCACTCTTTGTGCAAACTTGGAAGATGTAGACAATGTGGGGAAGGAGTTATTCATGTTTGAAAAATAACATGTGACTCAATTGAGGAATGCAGAAAATTTCCCAACATGCACCCTGTCCTTAATAGCAACTTTCATATATCCTGTCCATCGTTATAGAATTTTTTATGTCACCACCAAAAGTGGTGACATATTGTTATGGTCTCCGTTTTTTTGCGACGGCGTCCGGCGGTTGGTGGTTGGCGTCCGGCGTCTGTAACAATTTCTTACAACTTCCTATAACTTAACAAATACTGTTTAGACTGACTTCAATTTTTTTCTAAATCATCTACATGTTCTCAGAAGTTCAAATCTGACTTTAGATTTGACATTTGACCTTCAATGACCTTCTCAAGGTCAAAAAGGTCTTTTTTCAACTTGCTTCAAATTGACTAAATTTTTTTTCAAAATCATCTACATGTTCTCAGAAATTCAAATCTGACTTTAGATTTGACATTTGACCTTCAAATTTGACTTTAGATTTGACATTTGACCTTCAATGACCTTCTCAAGGTCAAAAAAAGGTCAAAAAGGTCTGTTTTCAACTTGCTTCAAATTGACTAAATTTTTTTTTCAAAATCATCTACGTGTTCTCAGAAATTCAAATCTGACTTAAGATTTGACTTAAGATTTGACACTTGACCTTCAATGACCTTCTCAAGGTCAAAAAAGGTCTGTTTTCAACTTGCTTCAAATTGACTAAAAAAAATTTCAAAATCATCTACGTGTTCTCAGAAATTCAAATCTGACTTAAGATTTGACTTAAGATTTGACATTTGACCTTCAAATGACCTTCTCAAAGTCAAAAAAGGTCAAAAAGGTCTTTTTTCAACTTGCTTCAAATTGACTAAATTTTTTTTTCAAAATCATCTACATGTTCTCAGAAATTCAAATCTGACTTTAGATTTGACATTTGACCTTCAATGACCTTCTCAAGGTCAAAAAAGGTCTGTTTTCAACTTGCTTCAAATTGACTAAATTTTTTTTTCAAAATCATCTACGTGTTCTCAGAAATTCAAATCTGACTTAAGATTTGACTTAAGATTTGACATTTGACCTTCAATGACCTTCTCAAGGTCAAAAAAGGTCAAAAATGTCTGTTTTCAACTTGCTTCAAATTGACTAAAAAAAATTTTCAAAATCATCTACGTGTTCTCAGAAATTCAAATCTGACTTAAGATTTGACTTAAGATTTGACATTTGACCTTCAATGACCTTCTCAATGTCAAAAAAGGTCAAAAAGGTATTTTTTCACCTTGCTTCAAATTGACTAAATTTTTTTTCAAAATCATCTACATGTTCTCAGAAATTCAAATATGACTTTAGATTTGACATTTGACCTTCAATGACCTTCTCAAGGTCAAAAAAGGTCAAAAAGGTTTGTTTTCAACTTGCTTCAAATTGACTAAAAAAAATTTTCAAAATCATCTACGTGTTCTCAGAAATTCAAATCTGACTTTAGATTTGACTTAAGATTTGACATTTGACCTTCAATGACCTTCTCAAAGTCAAAAAAGGTCAAAAAGGTCTTTTTTCAACTTACTTCAAATTGACTTAATTTTTTTTTCAAAATCATCTACATGTTCTCAGAAATTCAAATATGACTTTAGATTTGACATTTGACCTTCAATGACCTTCTCAATGTCAAAAAAGGTCAAAAAGGTATTTTTTCATCTTGCTTCAAATTGACTAATTTTTTTTTCAAAATCATCTACATGTTCTCAGAAATTCAAATATGACTTTAGATTTGACATTTGACCTTCAATGACCTTCTCAAGGTCAAAAAAGGTCAAAAAGGTCTTTTTTCAACTTGCTTCAAATTGACTAATTTTTTTTTCAAAATCATCTACATGTTCTCAGAAATTCAAATCTGACTTTAGATTTGACATTTGACCTTTAATGACCTTCTCAAGGTCAAAAAAGGTCTGTTTTCAACTTGCTTCAAATTGACCAAATTTTTTTTTCAAAATCATCTACATCTTTTCATAAGTTCAAATTTGACTTTACAAGTTCTCAGAAATTCAAATCTGACTTAAGTTTGAACTCATAATATTGTGAGCAACTAGGTGGTGACATTTTGTCATGTTAATGCCTTGTTTATTTTATGCTTTCATACATTGAATACCCCAGGACTTCAACATAAATACACTTTCAACAACTGCAAAAGCACATTAAAAGCTTAAATATATACTAGTTCAGAAATTAACAAGACACACAGTGATAAATATCGCACTTTGAAGAGCAAACTGGCCACCATGCAATTTACCCAGCATGCCAAAAACCTAATCAGACCTTGGCACTAGTCTGCTCTTGCATCTGTAAACATTTCAAGTTGACAAGGTTAGCAGTTTTCCTGCAATTTTGATGAGAAGAATTTATTTGTAGTCTCGAACTTTGGGAAAATTTAGATAACATTGTTTGTGACCTAATTTGATGACCGTCGACCTTGAAAATTTCACTTTTTCAGACCTCAGTAGGTGTTTTGTAATAAGCTGACCTAAATTTAAATCCAAAATAACAATTTAGAAAATCAAATTTTTGACCTTTTCAAGGTCAATGAAGGTCAACGAAAGGTCAAATCTGAAATCTAAGGTCAGATTTGAACTTCTGAGAACTTGTAGATGTTTTAAAAAAAAAATTGGTCAATTTGGAGCAAGTTGAAAAATTCAAAATGGCCGCCAAATTGAAAAATTCAAAATGGCCACTATGTAATTCAGCCAGCATACCCAAAACCTAATCAGATCTTGGCAATAGTCTGCTCTTGCATCTGTAAAAATTTCAAGTTGAACGGATAAGTGGTTTTCCTGGAATTTTGATGATAAGATTTGTTGAAAAATTCAAAATGGCCGCCATGTAGTTTACCCAGCGTGCCCTTAACCTAATCAGATCTTGGCACTAGTCTGCTATTGCATGTGTAAAAATTTCAAGTTGAACAGGTTAGCGGTTTTCTTGGAATTTTGATGACAAGAATTGATTTGTAGTCTCAAACTTTGAGAAACTTGGATAACATCATTTGTGACCTAGTTTAATGACCTTGACCTTCGACCTTGAAAATTTCACTTTTTCAGACCTCAGTAGGTGTTTTGTAATTAAGCTGACCTAAATTTAAATCCAAAATATCAATTTAGAAAATCAACTCTTTTGACCTTTTCAAGGTCACTGAAGGTGAATGAAAGGTCAAATTTGAAATCTAAGGTCAGATTTGAACTTCTGAGAACTTGTAGATGTTTTTAAAAAAAAAATTGGTCAATTTGGAGCAAGTTGAAAAATTCAAAATGGCCGCCAAATTGAAAAATTCAAAATGGCCACCATGTAATTCAGCCAGCATACCCAAAACCTAATCAGATCTTGGCAATAGTCTGCTCTTGCATCTGTAAAAATTTCAAGTTGAACGGATAAGTGGTTTTCCTGGAATTTTGATGACAAGATTTGTTGAAAAATTCAAAATGGCCGCCACGTAGTTTACCCAGCATGCCCTTAACCTAATTAGATCTTGGTACTAGTCTGCTCTTGCATCTGTAAAAATTTCAAGTTGAACAGGTAAGCAGTTATCCTGGAAATTTGATGACAAGATTTGGTTTATGTGCCGCCCGCCCGCCCGCCCGCCCGCCCGCACGCCCGCCCGCCCAACAGCACAAGACGACGACAATATAGCACTTTTTCAAAGTGCGATAAAAAGTCCACAATGGACCCGACAAAAGGCCAAGTAAGTTGTATTGTACCATAAGGCCATTTGATAGAGGTGAAGTAGTAAGTTTGAAAACTCTTTTGATTTTCTGTAAATGGTATATTCAAAGTTTTATCTCACGTACTCAATACTCAATAGGCTATTGATGATTGCCTTCTCGGGCCAGTGAGTGGACACATCAAAACATCAGTGGGAGTGGTTTCGTTAGTTGTATAAAATATATGGCATCGGCCTAGTTTTCCGTTCTGTTGATCGACGTGTAGACTTTATGTAAAGAAGCTCCAATACGGTATTACTGCTGAGAGCAAATAATGTAAGTTTTTTGTTGTAATTAATTTATTTGTTTGTTAATTAATTAATTTATTATTTATTCATTAAAATGCATTTATGCATTAAAATATGACAATGAGCAGGCATCACGAATTGTATATATTCCCGAACAAACATACAAATATTGAAAGTTTGAGTCACTCAGTCAAATAATTAATCTGATATATGTTTTGAGATGTCAAGTGAAATTGTCTACAGGTTAAAATTACAAAATCCCACTGAAAAAGTCAAAGGTTACTTGATTATACATATATATTTCAATGAGATACCTGGTTTGGAAATTACAGTTATTTTGCATGGAAACATTGCAATACAGGTGTTTTGATAAAAATAGAAACTTTCCAGTTAGTTGTTGAACTAATATAACGCCAAATATTCATTTTGGCTACGAGAGGTAGTACTAAAGTAGACTAACACCCCAGTCACATTTCCTACGGCGACCTTGCGGTCTATCATTTCTGCGGCCAGTAACATTTCTACGCTCGCCGTGGAATTTCTGCGCTCTCATACTTTTGCAGTCACATTTCCCACGGCAGCCGCACGGTGAATTTTAAATTTCTGTTGATAAATAATACTTTTTTCATTTTATTTACATCGGGACAATTTATAAATGTTATTCGTAGTGCTAGGATGTAATATCAAATGAAAAGTGATCGTGAAACATTGACAAATAATGATTCAATCTTGTTGAGCCAGTTGATTTCTACGGGGACCTCAGAAATGAACAAATATTATAACTCCGAGTTATAATTTCTACGCCTTCCATGCGACCTGTAAAAATCTGCATTCGCCGTACGGAGGCCGCAAGGCGAGCGTAGTTTTTCTACGCTCGCCGCAGAAATTCACCGATTTAATTGATCTGCGGTCGACTTGCGGCCGCCGTGCGACAAATGTGACTGGTGTTACAACAAAACATTTTGATTCCAGTATTGGGGTATTGAAGAGTAGGGCGTTGACCTTAGATTTCAACAAAAAAAAAAAAATCTACAATAAGTGTGAAAGGTAATGCCTGGGTCACATTTGCTCCGATTCATCGGCCGGCGCCCGCCCAATTAAGTATTTTGTTCAAGATTGTACACAGTTTTATGACTGGGTCACATTTGCTCCGATCCATCGGCCGGTGCCCGGCCGCCGATTGAGTGTTTTGTTTAATATTTAAATCAATTTTGAACAAAATACTTAATCGGCCGGGCGCCGAAATGAAAATCGGAGCAAATGTGACCAAGGCATTAACCAGAATACTCAATCGGCTGGGCGCCGGCCGATGAATCGGAGCAAATGTACTATTGACCAAATCATAATTAATGCACTCGCTGTGGCTTTATTCAGGCGTCACTAGTATGCATTGAGAGGTGTTTTTTATACACATGCACATTAACCTTTTTATAGTTCCACATTGAACGTCTTTGTATGATTTGCCAACTACCCAATTATACACGCATTGTTTACGGATGAGTAGGCATAAATTCCGCCCTAGTAGATGTCAAATTACGCCCGCGCAGACGTAAAATTACTTTTTTGGACGTAAATTACGCCTGTGATGGCAAATAATAGTCTCTGAGCTTGTATTCGCCAACACTCAATGCCTTGTGGCTGCTTCATTCCACTCAGGCGTTGTTTCCTAAACGTTACATTCCCTCTTCTTGGTCATGCAAAGATTTGGAAATAACACCTTCAATTGAATGATTCAGCATACAAGTCCAGGGCTTCAATCCTTAAATAATTATAGTCGATTCTAAGAAAATACAGGGTGGTCCAAAAAAGTAAACCCTTGCAACAAGCTATATCTAATTTATTACTTGTATTAATGAGCTGATATTCTCACATGTTTTAGAGGAAGGTATAAAGTTTTACTGTGTACCATTAAGGTCACGTAGTCTTAATTCTTGTAGAAGTTACATGGCATCAACAGACATGCCTGATTATGGATGATGTGCTCAACCAATAGCTCCACGGTTCTTGATTAATGCTGCAATGCGAATGTTGAAGTTGTTCACTGCTCCTTCCAGCATATCTAGGAGTGATGTTAAAGAAATAATTGTTGTACCAGTACACCCCCAATAGGATCCACATGGAATTCCACTTGGCTATGTGTGGCAATCAATGTAGATTCCACATGGAATCTCCACTATTTCCTCATAAATTTGATCCACATGGATCCACATTATTGTCACACATTTCAGCGTCGACATTTTGCAAGGATTCAAGAGGAATAAAGAGGGAAAACTTTCCGAATTCCTGCACGTGGATCAATTAACGTGCCTAAAATCCATGCGGAATTCACATGCAATCCATGTGGGTTTCATGAGGATTCCAGATGAATCCTCGTGGAATAGGTTCAATGTGGATGTGGATTGGTTGAGTATCTAATGTTTTTATTAGCAGTAAACAACTTCAACATTCAGATAACGGCAGTTATCCAGAACCGTGGAGCATGGATTGAACACATTACCCATTTATCAGGCATGTCTGTAGATGCCATGTAACTTCTGTAAAACTTAAGGCTGAGTGACCTTTATGGTATCAACAAAAATTTTAGACCGTCATCTAGAACATGTGAGAATATCAGCTCATTAGTGCAAGTAATAACTGAGATACAGCTTGTTGCAATGGTTCACTTTTTTGGACCACCCTGTATAATGCATTGATTATCGACTTTTTCCCTTCAAAAATTACAATTTTTATTTCGTTAATTATAGCATAAATGCAGCATAGACTTGAACATTTTATAACTAAACATGATTCAATGAATCGATGTAGATTAACTATTGATATACCATTACTAAAAACTCGTTCGTAAGATATCAAGGATGTTACCTTGTATACGTCGTATAATTGAACATTCATCAAATCATAGCTCCTTTACACCGTCTTTTGCCAATGTATAATTACTTTGATATCTTTTCTTAGATTTTTTAACCTGGATTGATCTGTGACAGAGACAAAGATGATGACAAAGAGCTTGCCAACTGCATTGTTTATGGTAGTGTTGATCATGGGAACCTGTAGCCTACCAGTTGTTAACAACGCAGACAGCGCAGTTGAACTACTAGCACAGTTGTTGGAGCGCGAACTTTCCATGGAAAAAAAGGTAGAGTTGTTGAAACATAGTCTAGTCACAAGCCTCTGTGCTCCACCCCCTCTTCTTGACTTTACACCTTTTCACAGAGTAGTTGGGTCACAGTTGGTTGTACCATGGGCTTTCAATTAGAAGGGTATACAACTCTGTGTAATAAGCATGAGGCCTTCAAAATGAGCAATGCCATGCTTCCCTTTTATGGTAATATTTCAAAAAGTATTAAATACTTAATGTATGTTTTAGTATTATTTTAAATATAAATCAATTTTCAATATGATCAAAGCATAAAATATATTCAATCGCATGTAAAAGTAAACAAAAGAGACAAATAAGAATAAGAGGTATCAAGATGTTCTCTTCGAGTATTGCATTATGGGTAGTTATTCAAGAACGCATTCCAATAAAAACATAATTTGTGGGAGAATGTTCACTTTGTGTATTTTCATAATTATGATGAATTTCATTTTTTTTATTAGATTATCAACATATATGTAGATGATTATGTTTTTATTTTTGAGTTATTTCTTTAAATCATCCATAAAAAGTACAAAATAAGATTTTCTTGAAATGTGTACATTCTCCAATTTTGAAAACCCAAAGGCAATGCTTATGTATGAAATATGGGAAGTTGCCTACCCTTCTAGTTGAAAGCTGAAAGCCCATGGTTGTAGCTAGATTATTGAAGCAGCGCGAACTTTCAATGGAAGAAACGGTATTCATACTTTCATTTTGAACCATGCAGAAATCTGGTTTGAGCATGCATTGTGCTGCAAGGATAAAATATTAGCGCGGCAAAATGGAATAATATACTATAATATGACTTTTATTAGAAAAAGACGTCTAAATTTACTCGTATATATACTTCTATAAATTGCATGCTAAAAATCTGCTAATTATTTCCGCTGAACCAACGCGAAATTGCAAATCTCCCATTCTAAACACAACTCTAAAGCTGATCGGCATAGCATGTTGAATAGGAATGTAAAGGTTACATGCATCGCTATTCCCACAAAGTTATAACATGATCATATGAGGAACTGAGAGTGAAATATATTGAGATATTGATCCCGCAAGGCGACCGTCTACGCTCGCCGCAGAAATTCACTGATTGAATTGATCTGCGGTCGACGTACGGCCGTCGTGCGACAAATTTGACTTGGATTTTACCGATTAAAATCTTAGGGCAGGCGCAAGATGACCGTAAGCCCGACGTGCGGCCACTGTGGACTCTTTCTGCGGCCTGGCTACGCACTGTTGATTTCTACGGTCCAAATATACACCAAAACGCCCCGCAAAACCGTTAATTTAATTTTTCAAATCTACCCTGTCTTTGGAAAAACAATGATTGTGAGTCTCACCATCCTCCGATCACAGGGCTGGTATGGATTCTGGACACCTGCTTAGGAGGATGGAGTCTCACACTACACCGTTTTTCTTCAAACTTGTTCCATTAAAACCTTCACAGATATACCTTTCAGTAGAGACATTGCTTTTGTTTACAAAGTCCCTCGTTTTAGCGGCGTTTTGGTCCCCAGATGCGAGAAGTTGCAAATCCTTAGAGATTTCAACCACAATCCTTGATATCTCGCCGGTTCTTCTATCACTCTCCCCCATATTCTGCGCAAGATCTCCCATTACAACCCTCCATCATTGCATCAACATGCATGTTTATTACATGAAACGCAGCAATTCTGAAAAAACCTACGCAACTGTTCGAAATTGACCAAAACGCCTCGTTGTCTTCCAAAACGCCCGCAGAGTCTATGACTACAAACGTGTAGTTTCAAGGTGTATAGATCCAACGGGGCGTTTTGGAAGAGAGCGGTTCGTTTTGATCAATTTATGATATATCTGGAAAGTTTCAATGGTTCAATCAAATTCTGTAATTGTTCTGTTTCAATTTTAAATGCATCTAAACCCCCTGTCTGTTAGTGTTATGAAAAATACGTTGTCTGTGAATTAAGTAAGTTCAATGGGACAACGTACATTCGAGTTGACAACATACACCATGGGCTTTCAATAAGAAGGCTATGCAACTCTGCGTAATAACATGAGACCTTCAAAATGAGCAATGTCATGCTTCCCTTTTATGGTAATATTTCAAAAAGTATTAGATAAATGTATAGATTTATGAACTTTATTACACATTCATACCCATAAAAGGTTAAGTGTACACAAAGTAAACACTAATTTTACAATATATCAATACAACAGAAAACAGTATATATAACAACACACAAAATTAACACTTCATAATAAATAAATAAGTAAATAAATGAACAAATAAATATGCATCATGGATAAGCACATGAATGGTGATTGTGATACGCGTCCATTGTTTATGTCATATATCACACCCTTCTATGTTATATTACATTTATGAATAAATTCTGCTACAATTTCAATTTCTTTATTTTCACAAGACATACAATATTGGAAAAAAAGTGAATCGTCCTCCATGTTGAAAAGGTGTTTAATTGGGTTGCCGTGTGATACAAGTTTATCGAGCATTTTCTTTCTATATATACTGTATTTTTTACATGAACGCATTATGTGTTTTTCGTTTTCTATTAAATTGCAAACCTCGCAAATTCTTTCATCGATCTTTAATTTTGGGCGTTCGTATCTACCCGTTTCTATTTTTAATTTGTGGTTACTGATACGAAACTTTGTTAGACTTCGTCGTAAATGCCCATTTGAAATTGAATCTAAATATGGTTCGAACCTGAAATTGCTTTTAAATATTTTGTATGTATTCAGTTTGCGACATTGGTCGGAATTCAATTGATTTCGCCAATAATCTTCAAAACTAATTTTTGATTTACAAACAACTTCGTATGCGTCAATAGTATATTCTTTTACATCTAAAGTATTATTGATATTGCTGGGAGTATTTCCTGAAAATGATACTACCTCTAATTTATCCATTACACTTTTAAAATTCAGCATCCACGATGACTTGTTGATCTTTGATAAGTCATTTGATGTAGTAAGTGCTTCTGATAATAAGATGTATGACGTATTTAACATGTGATTATAGAAATTAGTAGCTTGTTTGAATATATGAACATCATATATCATATATATCAATCATCATATAGTTGTATATGTTTTAGTATTAGTTTGAATAAAGTATTTAGAGGTTATGTCACTATGACGTGAAATATGCCTGAGTTCTCCCAATATAGGCCGACCTTGGGAGGCTCTATATTTGGGCAAGAACGAAGGCATATTTCACGTCATAGTGACATAACTGATGTATTACATGCCTTTGTTCCCATGGGGGTCATTAACAGAACTTTCGTAAAGTTACGAATTCGCAAGTCAATTGTTAATTTTACGAATTTGGTAAATGTGCATTAACAGAACTTTCGTAAAGTTACGAACGATTCGCAAAGTTACGAAAAAATGACGTCACGTATGCTTTCGTTCGTAACTTTAATAGCACCTCAGACCCTTTCATAACTTTGCGAATGGCACATTTCTCATCCAATTCTTATGTAAGGTATACAGGTTGGCAAAAAGAAATTGTTCTCTATACGCATGCTGAGTTTCAAGCTAAAATATCTACCTATTCTTACATGATAAGCAAATATGTTCCTGAGCTGGGAATCTTTGAAATCGCGGAGACAGGTTTGATCACAGCGCGCAATGATATCAAATGACATCATATTTTTATTTGTGCTAAATAATGATATAAGATGACGTCACAATTTGAAATTCGTTTACGAACGATAAAACTTATGAATGACTTACGAAAGTGTTCTGTTAATGGCCGATTCGTAACTTTATGAATTCGTAAATCATTCGTAACTTTTTAAATATTTACGAATTTCATAAAGTTACGAATTACGAATTGGTAACTTTGCGAAAGTTCTGTTAATGACCCCATGGTTACTTTGTATCAATGACGTGACGTCATGATATTATCATGGTTATTAAAGAAATCTAATATCAAAACGAGGTAAGCGGGCTATATCGGGGTAATCGGGCAATATCGGTGGATATAGCTCGCTAACTTTCCCATTGACTTCCATACAAATGCTTCGCTAGGTATGTAATACTATTAAATATAGTATAGTATTAAATACTTAATGTATGTTTTAGTATTATTTTGAATATAAATCAATTTTCAATATGATTTAAGCATAAAATATATTCAATATCATGTAAAAGTAAACAAAAAAGACCAATAGGAATAAGAGGTATCAAGATGTTCTCTTCGAGTATTGCATTGTGGGTAATTATTCAAGAACACATTCCAATAAAAACATAATTTGTGAGAGAATGTTCACTTTCTGTATTGTCATAAGTATGATGAATTCCATTTTTATCAAATTATCAACATGTATGTAGATAATCATGTTTTTATTTTTGAGTTATTTCTTTAAATCATCAATGGAAAGTACAATATAAGATTTTCTCGGAATGTGTACATTCTCCAATTTTGAAAACCAAGGCAATGCTTATGTATGAAATATGGGAAGTTGCCTACCCTTCTAGTTGAAAGCCCATGCATACACTTATGATTTTTAAAATTATAGCTAAAATATTAATACTTATTAAATCTTCAAAAGATCTTAATTGTGCTGTTTAAAAAACATATTCTCATAAAAATCTTCGACACGTTTAGACGACAGGGGAGGGAATGATCAAAGGAAAGTGTAAAAACACAACATTTTCCAACCGAACAATTATATGGGTAGATTGACTACGAAAAAAAATCGAGCACTGTTCGAAAATCTTTTAACGTTATTAGAAAGTTAAATGTCTTCCTAAACGAATACACAAAAAATCAAACATGAAATCCTTAATGCATTCATCGGATTATTTTTTTAAACCTACATCATTGTCTTTGCTTCAAATTTGTTAAATAGTGACATCGTACATCAAAAATGTACTACGGTATATTTTGTCACTGTACCTTGTCGATGGTTAGGCGTGGCGTAGGACTTTTGGAAATTGCTGCGTTAAATGTAATAAATATGTTGATGCAGAGATGGAGGGTTGTAATGGGAGTCCTTGTGCAAAATAAAGGGGAGAATGATAAAAGAACTGGCGATATATCGAGGCTTTTGGTTGAAATCTCTGAAGATTTACATCGTCTCACATCTGGGGACCAAAACGCCGCTAAAACGAGCGACTCTGTACACAAACGCAATGTCTCGAGTGAAAGGTATTTCTGTGAAGGTTTTAATGGAACAAGTTTGAAGAAAAACGGTGTACTGTGAGACTCACAATCATTGATTTTCCAAAGAAAGGGTAGGTTTAAAATTCAAATTAACGGTTTTGCGGGGCGTTTTGGTTTCGATACGCCCCGGTGATTTAGTACTGCGTGATGCCTTCGGTCTGTCGAAATATAGCCCTCGCAAGCTCAGCCTATATTGATGACAGACCTCAGGCATAGATTTAATAGGTGGAATTACACCTACGATGTAAAAGCGCTTTTTAAAATCCTATCGGGTTTCGACCCGCCTTTAGAGTCAGGTGTAATCACGATCGCGGATTTAGAAAAGCGCTTTTGTAATCCTCCCAGACCCCTAGTCATTAAAAACCGCTTTCACACCCAAAGGCGGTTTAACGTGTAGGTGTAATACCGATTGGTTTTCAAGGCGCTTTAACTCGATTTTACACTGAACGAAAACTATATTTGCGCATGAGCATCAAGCATGTTATTGATTTCCGGTGTGGAGGAAACTTCAAAAAACAAAATTCAAATATTGCGCAAAACTCAATCAAATCACCAAAATGTCGAAACAAAGTAGAATTTATTGGGACCACGTCAATACTGAGCGTATGCTTTCGATTAAAATATGAAAAATGATAAAATAACGGACGAAATTACCCCTTCTTTCAGTTATACGCCCAGGGCTTATATACGAGAAATTCCGGTACTATTGTAGATTGGGGAAGGCGAGGGGAGGGGATGATTGAATAGTTGAAATTACCTCTCTACAATGAAGTCAAAAAAATGACGAGATCTTTGTCTTGTCCACATCGTTCGTTCCTGTCCCATATTACCAAGGATGCCAAACAGCCCCAACAAAAACAAAAGTACCATCTTCATTTTACTGGATCTCTCTTGGATCTCTCCTAACGACCGAGCTTCTCTCTTTGCGCTCTTGTGCATTGTTTTCCATGCTTTCTTTAGCACATATTTGTTACGATTTAAGAAAAAAAGGAACATACAGTATCGGATCATTTTGAATCTCCAGAGATGGCGCTACGGTTGAAAGTGAATATCTAAATAGCAGATTTTGATGCAAATGCGATGGTTGATGGCAAATTTTTGTCTTAAATCAGTCTAAAAGCGCTTTAGAAAAATCAAGTGTAATCACGAAAAGTTGTCTTCAAGGCGCTTTTAAAATTCTGGTGTAATCAGGATTGCGGTTTTCTAGCCTACGTTACCCAAAACGCCTTGAAAACGCCTTTAGCCATGAAATAGGTGTAATTCCACTAAATGATACGGACATAACTGCTAAGTATAGTGTACAGCAATAATGCGTTGTGAACCTATTCGAATTATGCAGTCGCATTCCACGGCTGTGCCATCGTTTTGATTCCCAACCGTGAAGGTGATAATTCTATTTCTACATGTTTTAGATCAAACTGTTCCCTTAACTTAATACACCCAAATCTCCCAATGCTTCGTGTCATTCTACTTCCAATACATTAGACTTCGTGTGCTGTTACAGACAGATTTAGTGATGAAACGGTTCAATATGTTGTTTGTACTATTCTATCCCGTTGCAAATTGAATATAGTACAGTGAGGTCCACTGAAACTAATTTGTTTTCAGATTGGATCTGATTTGGTGGGAAAGAAATTAGACAACGGTTTGGAGGTTGAGACTAGAACTCACCCGTATATAGTGGAAAAGAAATTAGACAACGGTTTGGCAGTTGAGACTAGAACTCACCCGTATATGGTGGAAAAGAAATTAGACAACGGTTTGGCAGTTGAGACTAGATCTTACCCGTATATAGTGGAAAAGAAATTAGACAACGGTTTGGAGGTTGAGACTAGAACTCACCCGTATATAGTGGAAAAGAAATTAGACAACGGTTTGGCAGTTGAGACTAGAACTCACCCGTATATGGTGGAAAAGAAATTAGACAACGGTTTGGCAGTTGAGACTAGATCTTACCCGTATATAGTGGAAAATAAATTAGACAACGGTTTGGAGGTTGAGACTAGAACTCACCCGTATATGGTGGAAAAGAAATTAAACAACGGTTTGGAAGTTGAGACTAGAACTCACCCGTATCCGGTGGAAAAGAAATTAAACAACGGTTTGGAAGTTGAGACTAGAACTCACCCGTATCCGGTGGAAAAGAAATTAAACAACGGTTTGGAAGTTGAGACTAGAACTCACCCGTATATGGTGGAAAAGAAATTAGACAACGGTTTGGCAGTTGAGACTAGATCTTACCCGTATATAGTGGAAAAGAAATTAGACAACGGTTTGGAGGTTGAGACTAGAACTCACCCGTATATGGTGGAAAAGAAATTAAACAACGGCTTGGAAGTTGAGACTAGAACTCACCCGTATCCGGTGGAAAAGAAATTAAACAACGGTTTGGAAGTTGAGACTAGAACTCACCCGTATATGGTGGAAAAGAAATTAGACAACGGTTTGGCAGTTGAGACTAGATCTTACCCGTATATAGTGGAAAAGAAATTAGACAACGGTTTGGAGGTTGAGACTAGAACTCACCCGTATATGGTGGAAAAGAAATTAAACAACGGTTTGGAAGTTGAGACTAGAACTCACCCGTATATGGTGGAAAAGAAATTAAACAACGGTTTGGAGGTTGAGACTAGAACTCACCCGTATATGGTGGAAAAGAAATTAGACAACGGTTTGGCAGTTGAGACTAGATCTTACCCGTATATAGTGGAAAAGAAATTAGACAACGGTTTGGCAGTTGAGACTAGAACTCACCCGTATATGGTGGAAAAGAAATTAAACAACGGTTTGGAGGTTGAGACTAGAACTCACCCGTATATGGTGGAAAAAAAATTAGACAACGGTTTGGCAGTTGAGACTAGATCTTACCCGTATATAGTGGAAAAGAAATTAGACAACGGTTTGGCAGTTGAGACTAGAACTCACCCGTATATGGTGGAAAAGAAATTAGACAACGGTTTGGCAGTTGAGACTAGATCTTACCCGTATATAGTGGAAAAGAAATTAGACAACGGTTTGGCAGTTGAGACTAGAACTCACCCGTATATGGTGGAAAAGAAATTAGACAACGGTTTGGCAGTTGAGACTAGATCTTACCCGTATATAGTGGAAAAGAAATTAGACAACGGTTTGGCAGTTGAGACTAGAACTCACCCGTATATGGTGGAAAAGAAATTAGACAACGGTTTGGCAGTTGAGACCAGAACCCATCCAACTCCAATTTCAAGAAGTTTCAAAGGCGAGCAGCAGGCTGGCAGTCTCTTGGAGACGGAGGAAATGCAACACTTAGTCAGAGACGCGAAGTACGAGATCGAGCTTAATAAACTGATTGAAGAACTTCGTGATAGCGCCCAGCCAATAGAGGAGCATAAGAAGACGACGCTTGAAAAGAAGGTACATTGCCCACTTTCTAATTCCTTTTCGTTCGCAGTAACATTTTTTGGCATTGTATTTACGAATAGACAAGATGCGAGTAGAAATAATCTTAATTTACGCCATCAAAAAGTGATGTCATATTTAAAATCTACATGTAAAAGTACATCTAGAAATATGGTTTCGAAAATTGTTCATCAACTTTAAAAATTTAATTTTTTGGGGAAAATGTGAATTCTAGTTCGGGGAGAATCCCCATAGACCCTTTGTAATAAAATCACAAAAAGTGAAATATCTTTTCTTTTTTTGAACAGATAATATTTTCTTTTGCTGGTAACTAAGCCTACCTACTCGCATTCAAGTTATTGGCAATTTTATATTGTTTGAATAAAGGAGAGGGAACTTTTACAATGTCAAACATAAACTTTGCTTTTTCCAGCTTATGGATGATTAATCATATTATTCTTTTGTCTTTTTTCCAGGACAACCTTGAACAACGTATCCAGGAATTCCTTTTGGATCGTCTGGCACAATTCTAGAAAATAGTTCTTTTTCTAGCATGCTGAAAGAAATTGAGCCCAGGGGAATTGAACCCGGGGGCTAGTTCTAAATAAGGACACTTCTAATATAATGACGTAGATACATCTCCTAATTCGATTCAGTGATTATTACTTTATATAGTAATACTTTGTTAGTTTTTGTAACCCTGATGAGGTCAATGTATCTCTCATTTCACGAGATGGTCCAGAGGGGTTTTCAGGGGGTTCGAGTTACCCCCCCCCCGCTCTCTCAAGTTATCTCGCCATTGTCTGCATAAGGGTTAAGTCATATATCTTTTTATATACACCTTTGTATATATACACTGTTGCTCATTTACAATATCCATTAGCGAGAAAAAAGAATGCATGCAAATAGTGCAGAAAACGTGATAAGTGTAAGGAGCATGGGGCAAAACGGTCCTGTTGGGTAAAATGGCCCATCGAAATATCTTTTGAACTATAAAAGATGGTTCTTCAAAAGTCACATTAATCAAATTTCGGAATTTCCGCCAACTAGCAGCGTCTCGTCTTACGTAAGAGGTAATTCTACTTTTCACTCTCTTTTTTCTCTAAAAATCCGAAAATAGAATATGGTTTTGAATTATCATTTTACTTAGAGGATGTACAATATTATTCTTTATTTGTCAAAATTTCGAGCTTCAAATATTAAGGAACAAGGCGTCTATTTGCAATTCACATGACTGTGGGGTAAAACGGCCCACAAAGGTTATACCATACAAAAAGATTAATGTACAAGAACAATATTAACGATTCTAACATTTAGTTTGTACCGTACACCTTCTGACACAAATCTAATGACTAGAATTATGGTAGGGGTTAAGAATACATTATCTGTCTAAGGTTTGAACGTCTGAGACAAGATGTGTGTGGACGAGTCCTGTAATTGATTAATCTTGGTTTTATAAACCATGTAACAGAGGGTGGGCCGTTTTGCCCCACCCACGGGCCATTTTGCCCCACTCTCAGCGTTATTTTTGACCATTGATAAATCAGAAAACACTCGAAAAATGTAAAACTCAACCCATTGATAAAGTGGAACATCAAAGCGCGCGATGATTGACAGATAAATACAGATATACCCCGTACGGAACAACTTAAAATTTAATTTTGAGGACCGTTTTGCCCCATGTTCCGTTAATTAAATGAAAGAGTACGCTTATAACATGTTTTATATAACATAAACTACCAACACTTGTTCGTCTTCAATCAATCACTGTAGTATAAATAAACTAACTAACTAGTTAATTACTTTAGCGATTCTTCATTCGACTTTTTACTTCTCGGAAAAATTAAAGACTGATAATGGCATGTAGACTGTTTTATTTACATTTTATAATCCACTGGCATGTAGCGATCCTGATATCGATAAATTCTACACGCAATAAAACCAGATTCAACATTTATACTCAACTGAAAGAGCAGTCATGTATATCAAGTAATAGTTGGATTTACTTTCCTGTGGGTGCATTTGTAACACGATTAGTTGCTGATAGTGTCGTTAGAACAACCGTTAAATGTCAAGATAAGAATCTGAATTTAAATTATCGGACTGATCACTTTCCTGACATTACAGTGTTCATTCGCCTTTATTCTGACCTTGCACGTACATTTCGCTAAAGCGCCATCAAAGCGCCGTTGGTGTGAACCTAGCTTTGGGCGGCCTTGCTCAATCAGTTTCTATACGTCCGTTGCAGGCATTATGTGAAGTGAATAAAAGAAATTCAAATGATACACAGTTTATATATGTTTTTAGGTTGTAAGTACATGAAACTAGGACTTGAAACAGGTACATAATATATTCAACAAGATCGTCAAATATGCAAAAACATTGTTCGGTAAAGCTACGTTCACACCAACGGCGCTTTGATGGCGCTTTGAAGCGGCTTGTAAAGCGGCACCAAAGCGTAACAAAGCTTGATTAAAGCGTCGGGGTCGTAATAGGTCGTAGAAAAGCTCGGAGTAAAGCGGGATATTCGGCAAGAGCGCCAAACATTTTTAAAGCTACGCTCACAACAACGAAGAATGCCACACTTTAAATCGGCGAGCAAAGCGCCGTCATTTTTGTTTACTTTTCCCAAAATATCACGATCTCCAAAGTAATGTTCCGCTCTGATAAGCTCTGATTTCCCGACTTGATACGGTTCCTCACGCTATGATCCCGCTTCGACCAAGCTTTGTTACGCTTAAAATCACGCTTTGATAAGCTTTGATAAGCATTATTACCCTTTGATGCGATTATGGCGCTTTTAATCAGGCTCTGATACGATTGCCAAGCTCTGTTGTGCATTGTTACGCTCAGTTAAGCTCTGTCACACATTGGAAATCGCCGATTTCATGTCGCTTTTGATCCAATGGCTATATAAAGACTTAGATCCATAAAACAATTGCATCTTTGACACGAGAACACGATGGCAGAACAACAAGATCTAGAAATTCCAGATGGACCAGAACATGACCTATCTGAAGAAGACATGATGTTTGTCGCATGGCGTGAAAGAGCGGGAGAGAGCGTGGGGAAGCTTGTCAAGCGTAACAAAGCCTAACAAGGCGTTTCAATCCTTGATTAAAGCGTCTCAATTCGTTGGAAAGATTGAGAGTGCCTCATGAACGCGTAAAGCTACGTTCACACCAACGGCGCTTTGATGGCGCTTTAAAGCGGCTTGTAAAGCGGCACCAAAGCGTAACAAAGCTTGATTAAAGCGTCAGGGTCGTAATAGGTCGTAAAAAAGCTAGGAGTAAAGCGGGATATTCGGCAAGAGCGTCAAACATTTTTAAAGCTACTTTCACACCAACGGCGAATGCCACGCTTTAAATCGGCGAGCAAAGCGCTGTCATTTATGTTTCCTTTTCCAAAAATATCACGATCTCCTAAGTAATGTTACGCTCTAATAAGCTCTGATACGCTCTGATTTCCCGACTTGTTACGGTTCCTCACGCTATGATCCCGCTTCGACCAGGCTTTGTTACGCTTAAAATCACGCTTTGATAAGCTTTGGTAAGCATTATTACGCTTTGGTGTAATTATGACGCTTTAATCAGGCTCTGATACGATTGCCAAGCTATGTTGTGCATTTTCGAGATCGCCTTTATCATGACGCTTTTGATCAAATGGCTGTATAAAGATGCAGTAGATCCATAAGACCATTGCATCTGTGACTCGAGAAGACGATGGCAGAACAACAAGATCCAGAATTTCCAGATGGACTAGATCATCTATCTGAAGAAGAAATGATGTTTGTCGCATGGCATGAAAGAGCGTAAGAAAGCGTGAGGAAGCTTGTCAAGCGTAACAAAGCTTAACAAAGCGTTTCAATCCTTGATTAAAGCGTCTCAATTCGTTAAAAAGCTTGAGAGTCCTTCATGAAAGCGTAACAAAGAGTGTCAGATATTGATGAAAGCGACTGACCTGGTGTCAGATCTTCATGCTAGATCGTAGCTAATCTTGAGACATCCTAACGAAGCGTGTCAAGTGGTAACAGACCGTGAAGAGACTGGGGTCTGCTTTGAACCAAGCTTTGTTAAGCTTTCCTACGCTTTGGGTCAGGGTCAAGCTTTGCTGAGCTTTGTAACGGTTTGTTAAGCTTTGATACGCTCTCGGCGCTTTAATCAATTCGTAACAGAGCGCCCAAAATTTTTAAACAGTTTAGAAATTTTTGGCGCTCTTGCCAAATATCCCGCTTTACTCCGAGCTTTTCTACGACCTATTACCCCGACGCTTTAATCAAGCTTTGTTACGCTTTGATGTCGCTTTACAAGTTGCTTTAAAGCGCCATCAAAGCGCCGTTGGTGTGAACATAGCTTAAGCTATGTTCACACCAACGGCGAATGCCACGCTTTAAATTGGCGAGCAAAGCGCCATCATTTTTGTCATTTTTGTTCATACCAACGGCAGAACAAAGAAATTTTCGTTTTTGATCGCAATATTTGCGTGTAATATTTAACTTATTTCAACCGTCAAATTCTTCCATTTATTGGTACATCCGGGCCACTCCCTGGTCAGTCAAACGGGGAATCCCCTTTTAAATCTAAATCAAAATGCTAAAATATCCAGGAATCTTGTTACGCGGTAAACACGATACAAAAATATGTCATATTCCGCAACGAATATGGCATATTCATTTGCGGTGTATGACAGATTCACCTGCGGTATATGGCATACAAATTAACCAATGAGAACGTGATACGAAAGTACGCAGTTGTCAATTGCATCTATTGAACGAAATAGTAAAACGTTATTAATCATTGTAATGATTACTGAATCAACAGTACTGTGTATCGAATATATTAACTAAGCAGAAGTATGGGTCACCAATCTCGCGTAATAAACTTACTCAATCAATCCAGGATTCATATATTAGTACTCGACGCACTAACTATAATGGTAAGTAATTACAGCGTAGATTTACATTTAGAGTCGATTCTCGCAACCAATCAAATCAAGGCTTTCTGTATCACGTTTTCACCTGCGGTATATGTCATATTCACCTGCGGTATATGGCATATTCCGCAAGAGAGTATGACATATTCCGCAGGTGAGTATCGGGTATTCACTGAAATCAATGTATCGCATATTCACTGCGGAATATCGCATACTCATCTGCGGAATATGCCATATACCGCAGGTGAGTATGGCATATTCACCCGTATCACAAATACCGCACAACCATGAATGTATGCCATATACCGCGTAACAAATCTATTGAAGTAGGTATCTTAAGTGTAAGGGGCGTAGATAATTCTCCCAAGTTGTAATCATACAGGCAAAAGAATGCGCCCGTTAGAGGACTATAGTCCTGGTACGGGATAAATGATGCTTTAGATGAATAGAAAATGATACAAACTTTATTTTGGGAGCAATGATCATTAGGCTGGTTCATTTTTCCGCGTGTCGATTTTCACAAGAAAATTGGAAGCAAATGACAATGAGTTATATGTTCACTTAAGAGAAATCTTAATTCACGAATGGGCATTTTTGATGACTACAGCTAGCTGAATTGAGAAACAAGTTTGTATTTTTTGTCTTATATCATCACCTTTATGTTTAATTTTCCGTCAAAACTCGACATAAGGCCATAAGAAGCAGATTCTTTGTTTCGCGTCCCCTTGCTTGCACGATTTTGAGTAAATCAGAAAAACACATCCAAATAGCAATCACAAGGGTCTGAAAGTACCATCTTGTTCAATCAGAATCAGACAAAATGGCGGATAATTTGATGTGCGTCAAAATTGACAGTGTTATTGATTACTTTGGCATATATTATGTATTTTCTAATGTTTAAACCTTGAAAATAGCTATGTTTAAATATAAATAGATATGTATGTGTTTGTAATCACTACAAATTGGTATGTCATCACTTTTAATGCCCATAAAATGTATACATTTCTCAGCAAACTGAGTTTGTGTTTGTTTTCCTTGTACCCTTGCATGATTTGGATTTTGCCAGGACGCAAAACAAAGAATCTACTTCTTATGGCCTAATGCATGAATAGCAGAATCGTGTCGTGTTTCACTATATCTCCAAGGAAAAAGCAGTTACGTACATGTTACATATGTGGACTCCTATGCAATCATAGTTTTTTATATGTACTGAACACATCTTTTCTATTTTCAATAACTATGTGCACACCACATTATTTATCTTTTTAAATCAACTTCACCAAAACTTTTCACTGATTCAAGAAACCGGCGCATTTACATTTTACATTGATGGTGCAAATGCCATGTCGTCAAGCACCCAATCACTCTAGTTCCCTTTAAATCTCTTTTAGTGTATGAGGTAAGACACTTTGATTTGTTTTTACAACTTGAGAAACTTTTACAATGGGTGTTCACTTTTTCGACCAGCTGCAGGTTGACGTTGTGAAGTTTTTCACCACAAACAAGCAGGGCAACCATGTACATGTTCATTCCAAATGACATTAACGGCATTCAATCATGCATCAGAAAGTCCCTTTTAAAGATTTCAAAATTTAAAGAGAGACTTTTTCATTTAAAAGATGTTAATGGTAACTCTACTTGATTTTACCTTATCATTTGAATGATAGCAATGATGTCCATTAAAATCCGGGCCCCCAATTATCCACAAATCTTACTAATTTTGTCTTTTCAAACATTAATGGGATACGAAAGTTCCCTTAAACTTGAATATTCATCAGTTTTAGTGACTCACTTTTCATATTACCCTTATGTATCTGATAGTTATACAAATTAGAATATGTCCAGTAAAGAAAAATGTTACCTGCTCAACACAAGAAAAGATATTTTACTTTTTGTGATTTTACAACATGGGGTCTATGGGGAATCTCCCCGACCTAGAAGTCACATTTTCTAAGAAAATTAAATTTTCAAAGTTGATAAACTCTTTTTAAAACAACATTTCTGGATGCAATTTTACATGTAGATTCCAAATATGACATCAGTTTGACTTTTGAATTTTTAATGACGCAAATCAAGATTATTTCTACTCGCACCTAGTCTATAGACCAGTAAGTATGCAGAAAACAGGAATTTAGGATTCTCCAGGGAATTGGTACATCTATTTCATATCATGTGACCACGAATTAACCACTAAACATGTAGAAAATAGGAATTTAGGACTCTCCAAGGAATTAGTCCATCTATTTCATATCATTTTACCACAAATTCAACAATAAGCATGCAGAATACATACGAGGTATGTAATAATATATAGTACCGACTGCAAATAGCCTGATTGATGTGTTTTATATTTACACTTTTTTATGATCAAGTAAACATGACATTGATTTAATTGAGCAGTTCACTTTTAATGTTTTTGTCCGTATGAGTTAATTACAAAAGAAGGTTGTTGAAGATACAATTTGTCATTTATAATGAAGAAGTGTTTCATTGCTGTTAGGTTTAATATACATGTATGTACGCATCAATAAACTGTTAAACCAACTTGTTAATTTGTGAGATGAATAGGTTTAACCTAATTTTTTCTTTAAATAGTTCATTTTAATTAATTAAGACCAACAAACAGCTTTAAATGTACACAAAGAATAAAGAATAGACTAGTTTGTTTATTGCTTTCCTTGTAGTGCCAATTTTCAAATGACATGAAATCTACATTCAGACTTAAAAAATGAAAATGAGTTGTTTTGATTTTTAAAACTAAGATAATTTGGCAATAAATCAGAAAAAGACTGCCCCTTTCATAAATCAAATGAATTCACGTTGAATTCAAGTTTGTTTTAGCCCAGCCTGTGAATATGTGTACAAATAGTGCTTTTGTAGTTGTGTCATTAATCATAGATTATAAAACACAACATCTAGTCCAAGTGGAAAACTTTGAGTTTTGCCTAGGATACCCCATTCTGTGTAGTTACGTTGAGCAAAAAATCTTCGCAGTCTCTGTAGTTTTAGTGCATCTTCCTTATGACTTCCAGAGCCTGCGAACTCTACGGTAAACACTCTTATATGGATGTCATTAAATGGAATAGTGTTGAGGATAGCTTCTTCTGCTCCCTCGACATCCAATGAGAAATAGTCCACAATTGTCCATTCAAGGGCTTTCAAAATTGTAGCAAATGGAAAGCATGGTTTGTTAATTTAAAAACATACGGGATTGTTCGAATGCGTATTTATTAATATATATGCTTTAAATCATATATTTTATTTTTTTAAATTATACAATTCAACTGATCTGCTCCGGTTACGTTCCCAGCTCCGGTTACGTTCCTAAGTAATATTTTTAAAACTTTTTTTTAAATTAAACAAATCAGAGTCGTGTGAATCAGAAATAACAGAATTATTCAAAAGTATAAGGACTATTCTGTACTTTTTTTAAAAGTCTATACTTAAATGTTGTGAAAAGTTATAATCGAAAAACCATCTTTCGGAGTAAAGTCCGTCTGCGCCGATTTCAATAACTTCGTACTTGATCAGAACTGGGTTCCAACAGAATTCCTACAAACTCATGAATGAAATAGTTATTGCATGGAATACTTACTTTTGTCAAAATCAAAATAGAACTCTAGTTAAAAAATATATTGATCTAAATTATTGCAATTTCTTAGTAAAATGTCGTTCTCCGGTACGTTGCCAAACTTATTCGATGGTACCCCGTGATTGATACATTTCAAATAGCATGATAAAACATAACGTTACGCACACCATTAATCTAAATGATAGTTCCAAACTGTTAACTGATTTCATTTTATACTTTTTCCTGTATTGTAATTACTGTTCTTAATTCGCACGGGTATTTCAGCTTTACCTGTTGATTAGCTAGCAATACACACTTTGACAGTAAAACATGCCAAGTTGAACACCTCCAAAATTGAACACCTTTGTTAGTGGAACACATTCCAGTCTAGTCACCTATTGACTTAATGTTAATTGGACCTCTTTGTATGGAACATCTCCAAAGTGGAACGTTTTTTAGTGAAACCAACGATGTTCCATTTACACAGGTATTACTGTATTTTGTTTCTGCTTCATTTGATGAGTTGATATCTATGAGATTTCAAACAACCTGGATGATATTTATCTTCTGCACAAACATAAGTTCATCATCTTGTTAGGGAATTAGGGAAATGCAAACCAATGTAAATGTAATTAAAAACTCCACACTTCAGATGAAGGTTATTTTTATCCTTGTATGTGTACAAGGATTAATAGTTTTTGTCAACCTTGTTTTTTAAATTAATGACTGGCTCAAATAAATGGTATAAACTGTACGTTATTTATGTATTTATGATAGGGTCAAGTTATGCATGTATTTCATACCTACTGAGGTTTCAGGTACATAACGAGCGGGAATATATAGTGTATCTAGGGACCGGGATGGATACACGCTGTATCCATCCCGGTTCAGCTCCCGAAAAAACAAATATAATTTTTTTTTCAATTTTTTTTTTAAGAATTGTCAAAAAAATATTTCACATTTTTTCAAATTATTTTTCAAAATTATTTTTTACATTTTATTTTTTCACATTTTTGAAAATCTCGCAAACTTTAAGACCAAAAAACCGCCTAGTACCTTAAGTTTGTTTTGGAATTTTGGATCTTTGTAAGGTACATGTATGATGTACCTAGAACCCCAGTAGGTATGAAATACATCTGTTATGTACGGTCGGTTTTGATGCGGTCCCTCGGGAGATACACACATTTCCCTTGGGATAAACCCTGTATCCAAAACCTCCCAGTACATAACCCTTATATATATCATGCATATATAAGGGTTATGCACTGGAAGGTTTTGGATACAGGGAATATCCCGAGGGATATACAATATATCTTCCCGAGGGACCGAAAGTACCGAGGGAAGATGTATTGTATATCCCAAGGGATATTCCATGTATCCAAACCGACCGTGCAATACTGGTGTATCTCATACTTTTTTAAACTTTTTAAAACTTTTTTAAACTTTTGAAAAATTCCCGGGAGCGGGATGGATATATTATATCTGCCCGCATTTGGCCTGGAGCGGGACATATACAATATATCCTGCCCGCTCCTCAGATATGATATATATATTCCTGAGTGATATCTACCCCAAACCCACTTAAGTATGAGATACATTGTTATATATACAAAATATTATTACCACCTTGCCAGGCCAGTTCTACGTTGGTACGTTTATGGAGCTCCTCCGCACCCAATATTTAGAGGGGGCTCATATCTGAAAAACATTTCCGAATTTTTATAAAATCACACAGATACTGCCTGGCTTCCAAGATGCAAAAATAATTTGTATAGATAGTGTACCTTGAACACCATTTTTTATGAATGCTGGGGACTCAGTATTAAAAGGATAATTTCAAAATATATAGGTCTGGGAAAGGTTTAAGGCACACTGCGTCGCTATAGAATGAATTGCGCTACTATTTTCACAATTGTATTGATATTTGGTGTCAAATACACATATCTTGGTATATTTGAAGTCCCAAAACGGCTTAGTTTCAGAAATATCCCAAATTTAAATTCAAAAATGACCGTTCAGCTCCGCACCCTCCGCTCATTTGCTCCGCACCCAATATTTCCCACAGGCTCTGTCTGCATAGGGTGATAGAGGGTAAATAAGTATTGAGTCCTATGCCTGGTTCTTAGAAGAATATTCATCTTGACATTATGTATCTCTTCAACCATCAATAAAAATGAATAGGGATGCTGGTACAAAACAAATGTATGACAAGACAGTATAAATTCTAAGCACAGAAACATTCCCGGGGGAAATTATTTATATGTTTTTTCCTTCAGTGTAGAATGCTTCGCCAAAAATTTGCCATATGCCCTAAAACCGGAAGTGAGTTCAAATTTTGTTTTTTACTAAATCCTTCACTTTCACATCATTATATCATGTAGTAAGTATTAAACTATATTCATATGGACTTTAAGGAACTCTAATATCAACAAAGAAACGGAATATTTCCTTAAGGTACAGCTGGAAAGTAACATTTTGGTAAAAAATTGCTATACCTGCACATGTTATTTTCTGGTACAAAATAAAGTATGAAGGCATGTGTCAATTTCCTTGCTTTTTTCAGGAAAGTATCATTACATTGTCTTCTTTTAGAATATCTGGTAGGTGTTCAATGGGAACTCCAGGAAATACTGATATTTCACGCTTTCTATTTTTCCAAATTTTCTTTCAAAGTTTCCAGACAACACAGAAGCTTCCATTGACCTGTTTCCAGATATTCTAAAAGTAAACAGTGTTATGATACTTTCCTGAAAAAAGCAAGGAAATACACACATGACTTCATACTTAATTTTGTACCAGAAAATAACATGTGCAGGTATAGCAATTTTTTAGCAAAATGTTACTTTCCAGCTGAACCTTAGGTCAGGGTGCATGTTCGGAATTTTGCTGCAACCCTCAATAGGTCACAATGTTATTTTTCAAATTTGAATCACTTCCCCACAGTATCTACATCTCTCACTTTGGCGCAACGTGTGCGCTAATGTCCTAGAAAAGAATGTAAAGAAGAATGTTTTGATAAAATGTATAAAAAAACAGTGAAAAAATTCTGAAAATTTTCAGAAAAATTTTTCACTGAATTTTCTCGTATTTTATTGGTAAGGTAGACATTTTACTAAACAAATCTTCTCACCAGTTTTGTTAGGCACATAATTGCACCTCTTATGCAAAACTGGAAGATGTAGACAATGTGTGGAAGGAGTGATTCCTGTTTGAAAAATAACATGCGATTCAATTGGGGAATACAGAAAAATTCCGAACATGCACCCTGGCCTTATATACCAGATTTCACAAATTTTCTTACAGTTTGTGACTTTGGTGTCATGTCATAGATGATAGGGCTTAAGTTGCAGAAAGTATGATGGTTTTCGTGAAAAATAATCATTTTTTTCCAAGAAATTGTCGTGCTTTCTAGAAGCTTTGAGAAGTTTTAGACTGTGTTCAGACGAAATGTTGAGACGTAGTGATACTAGAGAGCTCTAGAGGTATATCTGCATGGTATGGTCAATATTTCCATGAAAGGGAAAGGACCTTATTCTGTCAAAACATCGAAATAAATGAGTACTTACAAATCTCCCGCCGAAAATATTTGGTATACCGTCGTAAACTTCCGGTGTTACGACGTATAAGAGAATGGGGTGTGGTCATTGTAATCATAGGCTTTGTCTTGATTCATATTTCTTCATCCTTCTGTCTTCAATTCAGGTAAGAATCAGATTCAAACTATTTCAGGGCTTGCATTAACGGCGTCCCGTACATGTTAAGGACTCAAAAATAATTTGGAGGACGCAAAAATTGAAAATATTTCCGTTTTTTGGACGCAAATTTTTTTTAGGTCAACACTACAATGTGTTTTAAACGATACCTAACAAAAACAAATAATTATGATCTCTTACCTTTATTTGAATCGTAAATAAGGCTCAACATGTTGAATATTTACAAATAATCATGATTCTCTCAAATTTTTTCGACTTTGTTTATTTTTAGATTTGAAACCATGACACGCCACAGTTTTTCCTATTCAGAAACAAATATTAGGTTATTCATGAAATAAAATGTATTCATTGTCGAATGAACAAACATGCCTTTATTCAGTCCGTACTTAATGTTTACTTCCGTTTTAAATTCGCGGCAAGAAATCAAAAACTGAAAAATAAGGGACACACTTTTTTTTCAAAGGACACACTTTTAAAAAAAATTGCATCCTTGGGACTCACAAATTTTCTAACCTAATGCAAGCGCTGTATTTACATGTTCAGTTACCAGTGTAACAATACACGCATTTATATACAATTTGCTTCCAATTTACTTCCAATATTTCTTACAGTGGGGCAATGTTGTCAATGTAGGTAATTGTTGGACACTCAGTGCATGAGGTCATTTGTCCAACAAAATTCAAGGAAAAGTACTTCATGTACACATTCCAAGAAAAAATTTATTTTGTACTTTTTCATTTTTGAATACTCTTCCTTCGGAAGGGGTCAAAATAAGACATTTTACTACTGTAACACAGTTATCTTTTACTCTTTGTTTCAGATAATGTCAAACCTTGAAGAGTTAGGGTTTCCTGGCAGTGCTGCATTGAGAGATGCACTTACTAGTTGTGCTGACCCTCTACAAGCAATAGAGACGTTTCAGGTCGAAAATGGTAAGGTCATCAACCACAACAAACAAGTATGGTAACACTGTACTGCCATAGATACTAGTATTCCGTAATTCCGCGGCGTGGACGGAATTTGACAAAACTTCAATTTTTTGCAGAATCCCTGATTTTCATGAAAATCCTGCGGAATTACCAGAATTTCCAGAAATTACATATTTTACGATCTCCTACCTTTGCGGGGTATTGGAAGAGTGTCTGTTTATGTCCAACAATCAATCATTATTGAGTACAAGTACGATTTCTCCTTGAAATTCAACATTCTATCACGTTTAAATTCGCTAAAGCGAATTCGCTAATGACGCGCAGTTCTTACCTAGAAAGTAGCTGACTTCCGTTTCCGTTTTCTACGTCAATTTTCATCATTTTAAAAAATTGCAGAATTTGGACTATTTTTGAAAATTTGTGCAGAATTTCGATTTTCTCCTTGCAGAATTTGCTTTTTTTCTTGCAGAATTTTTTGCAGAATTTTGATTTTTTTCATGCAGAAAACTAGTATCTGTGTACTGCACTGTACTGTAAATATCAAGAAACAAATATAAATAGAAATTTATTTGAACTGATTGCTCGTGACCAACTATTTAATGCATTCTTTTGATGTTATGGCACCTCAAATTTGCCATACTAAATTTCAGAGTCAACATTTAGTGTGCTTTAAAGGGAAGCATAAATTCAATATGATTTTGAAAATGATTTTTAAGCTCATTATTTGACAGTTACATTTCACTGGCTTCCAGGTATCCTTTTGCCATCTTTGCGACCATCTCTCCCATTTTTGGACCTCCATGGAGTAAAACGATTGGAATTTCATACCTCCATTATGGAAGAGCTCCGGGAGCGTCTGATTCAACAAGTAACAACATTAAGTCAGAATGAGTCGAAAGGCAACCAAAAGATTCTGAATGAGCTTCTGGAGAAAAGTTTTCCTGTAATAAAATCAAAGACAATGCGCCCCGTTGTCATGGCAGTTATGAAACACATCCCAAAAATCAAACAAGAATATTTGAAAAAGATAATGGAAGATGATGAACTGTATAAAGAAAGTAGTACGGAAGTTAAACGCCAAATATGGCAAGACAATCAAGCCTTATTTGGTGATGAAGTGTCTCCCTTGTTATCAAAATATATAGAAGACAAAGAACATGCCATATATGGACATGAAAATGAAATGGCAGGACTTTTTACGCCATCTCCAAAAAATCGCCGCCAAATGGAAGTAATTCGAAAACTGGTGCATATGGTAGGGCGTAATGTCAAACTTTACGATATGGTATTACAGTTTCTCCGAACATTGTACTTGCGTACAAGGAATATTCATTATTGCACATTACGTGCTGAAATTCTAATGGCACTCCATGATGGAGAAGTTACAGAAATATGCAATATTGATCCCTGTCGTAAATTCACATGGTGTCTTGATGCTTGTATCAGAGAACGATTTGTTGACGAGAAGAGGGCTAAAGAACTTCAAGGTTTTTTAGATGGGGTCAGGAAAGGACAAGAACAAGTTTTAGGGTAAGCAAGCATCAATATAATTATGTCATAAATCATTGAACTTACAAAATTATGCTCACACTCAAATGTTTATATTTTTTATTTTGAGTAGGTTTATTTCTTTCATTCTGCAGAGAATCACAGAAAAATTTAATTTCGGCCTTTTGCACAATGGACTACTTCTAGAAAAATAGTGAAAATATCAACAAGTGCCATATTTTGAGCTGAGCTTCCAAAAAATAAAAGACAGCAGATTTAAATTATATTTGAAATTAAATGAACAGTAAATATAAGGCACAAAGTGCAATATGTGAAAACAAAGTTGCATTCTTCTCTTAACTTGACCTCAGTCTTAAACACCATTATTTTAATCTTTCTCATTCATCTCGTATGTTTTATTTGGCAAAACTACATCTATGCATAAACCTGTAAAAATCATGAAAAACTTCATGCAAATAAAGTTTGATAGGGATATATAGACCAGTGCAGCCCTCCATCTGACCATCCATCTCTTAGTTTAATCCGTCAATCTATCTGATTTGCTAATTGATGAAATTTCTCTATCGAATGATTTATCTGCTTTCAGTGACCTGTCGATGATCCTATGTGATCCATTTGCGGTGAACACAATCTGTCTATCCACCATAAAGTGTCTTCAGCACTGTGTCAATGTTGACATGCTCCCTCGGGTAAGCTCTGAACATTTTGTAATTTTGAAATCCTATGTACTTCTCTCCAGTAAATTGAAGTTACCAAGCAAAGCAAGACTCAGTTAAGAATTTGAAAATTACCTTGCATCAAGTTGAAAGATTAGAAAATAACAAAATCCTCAACTCAAAAAAGTTCCTGGGGAGAGCATTGTAAAGTTCCATGCATTTGATATTAATTTATATATTTGGTGCTATTTTCTGATTCAGGAGAATGGTGAGCTGATCCTACTACTGAGAATGTTGTCTCTGGGACTTGGTGCTTGGGATATGATTGACAGTCAAGATTTCAAGGAACCCAAACTGGTAAGACCCTAATACTAGGATAAAAATATGTTAATGAAGCTGATCTGAATAATTAAAATAATCCCTCAGTATATTGAAAATGGTCAATACTCTATATACTGGTACATGCACTTACGATGCATTTGTGTACACTGTAAAGATTGGATCTGTTTTGCATCCATTTGAGCCTCTTGTGTTCCTCTAAACTAAAATTCCATTGAAACCTATGGGTCACATTCATTAAAATTGATCATGTAACATTAATTTATTCTGAATTGTAGGACAGCTTACTGATCCTGAAGTTCTTACCAGCCGTAGTAACAATGATGGTGGACGATCAACTTAACACAGTTATAACTAAAATCTCAGATAATGCCAAAATTGTCACCTCCTCTCCAGGAGAGTTCTTCTCAATGTATTTGCGCCAGAATGCTGTGGCAAGTACAATGTTGCTGCATTATGCTTTGCTTGTGTCAAGGCAGAAAGACAAGGTATACACTATATAAACTATGTACACTATATACACTGTACACTATATAAGTTCTTATGTTGAAATTCTGAATGAGAAAAGTTAAGAATTAATCTCCCTGTTTTTCATTATTTTAGAAAATCTCAGAACTTTTATGCAATGCCTTTAATGTTATTCTTGATTTTCTGCAAATTGCAAAATAACTCTATTTTATATTTCCTTAATATAGTGGAGTAAAATTTGTAAATTCGAAAACCTCTCAAATCTGAACACCTCTAAATGGAAATGCTTTTCTTCAGTCCCATTTTCAATCTGCAATATGTTGAAAACCTCAAAGTGTGAACACCTGCAAATCTGAACACTTTTGGCCAGTCACAGTGGAGTTCAGATGAGACAGGTTTTACTGTACATGTGTTTCTTACAGGCTGCAGTAGAGAAGGTCATGCCCTACTTAGGTCAATGTGAAAATGATCGTGGCTACGAAGATACATTTCTACACGCATTTGTTGCTAATCTTATCTCCATGTCTGAAGAGTTCCAAGATGCAGAATTCATGAATATGGTCATAGATGATTTCTTCATGGTATGCTATTTAAAATGATTTTCTTTTTTAAACTAATTTATAATTTGAAAGTACATGTACTTGTTAATTGAAATGTTATAATGCCTGGTATTCGGAATCATGCAAACATATTCCAAACTAAATACTTGTTCAACTGTGTTGATGGAAAACCAATTAGAAACCAGGTCATATTGACACAGTAGGAAGCAAGACTTACATGAATTTCATGATTTGGGTTAAAAATGAAAATGGATTCATGAAATAAATGCAGCAAATGAATAGAAAGCTAGGATTTCAGCCAGTATTTTTACCTAAGCTTCATGTTCTTGCAGGCCTCTCTATCAAAGGAAAATGTCTTCAGGCACATGCTGCGTCTTCTCTGGCATATTCACTTTAGGATACCTCCAGCTAAGCTAGATGCTACCCTCTCTGCACTGGAACCCACAAGTCAGGTGAGGAATGAGGGTCATTTTTCAGTTACTGTACTCCTGGTATTTTTCGCGTGCGATTTAGTTTCACGCTTTTCACGATTGTGGTAAAATCTCGAAAATTAATCTTCCCGAAATTGTCAATTAAATCCCCAGGGATTTGTGAATTTTTTTATTACCTGGGACTCCATTGCACTTCATGTTTTGTAAAATGTTTGTAAAAGTTTTTAGGTGATAAATGGGATACTTTGTAACAATGTCTGTTACAATGGCTTACTAGAACAAATAAACCATAACATTACGATGCAATAGAGGTTAAGGTGCAGCGTGTCGTTGACCAAGATGACATAGTAGTACGTGTACTTAGTTCAATTCACGAAACTTAATAGCTGCGAAATTCTGTTTTCTCAAAAATCGCGAAATTATAACTCGCGAAATTAACCGGGAGTACAGTATCATGGTTTTAAAGGAAGACTATATGATAGACATTTCGAACATGCACTACATGCATTTAAAAATGATTTTGTTGTTTCACGAAAAGAATATCCTATGATTTTCAAGAAAGGTATCCATCCGCATTTTGAAAAACTTTTTTACTTATTTCAACTACCATATCCTCTTTATTAAACGCAGTGGAGCTCCTAATAGAGAGGTTTCAAATGTCAAAATTTGACATTTGTCAAAATTACTGTGACAGTACAATCATGGTTGAGGGCTATATTTTGAGTTGGTACGCACACTCAGGGATGCCTGATTGCCAAAGGCAGCGCATCGCGGGGGGTCCGGGGGTATGCTCCCCCGTGAATTTTTTTCAAGGGCGTTATTTGATGCAATCTAAGCGCTTTTATCAACTTTAAATGTTGACAATGGTTAAAATACAGATACGGTAGGAAGCATCAATAATTTCGCAAATAAATTAATGCATTTTAACACATTTTTAATTTTTTTCAAATTCATTTGGTACATGTACGCCTGTGCGTATTTTGCGTAATAGGCCCATGACAATGTCATGTATACTGGCATAAGCGTTGGACTGTGTACTCTATCTAAATATACATTCTCTTATTTTTCAGCATAGCGAAGCAGTACATAATGTATACAGATCATTAATGGAGAGAGTAGCTAGCTACCAGCCAAGTCCCGTAGCAGTCATTGAGAAACTAGACTCCCCTTTACTCAGTGTTCCTGCGCCTACCCCTGGACCCATGACACCCATGTACAATTAGACTCCATTATTCAGCATTTTTGCCCCTGGAGGTCAGTTGATAATATCAAGAGACTGTTCCAAAACATCTAACATGAATCAGTACTGATGGAAATTGCAAGTAGTTGCAAGTGGTCAAGTTCAGTAGCAGATTACAGGCCCGTAGCCAGAGGGGGAGCTGGGGGAGCGAGCTCCCCCCTGGAAAAAAGCTCCCCTCCTGGTAAAAGCTGGCTACAGGCAAGGATTACTACTTTTGCATTGTGGTTTCATGCCCTGCTTATGTACAGTTACAGTTATACCATACTGCTTATGCTATTGCAATCATCACTAATGTGATGTATGTTTCTATCTAAATCATGGCTTCAGGAAAATCTGCCATGAATAACTCAATATTATGACCACCTAGTGCTCACAATATCATGAGTTCAATCTTAAGTCAGATTTGAATTTCTGAGAACTTGTAGATGATTTTGAAAAAATAAATTGTTCAATTTGAAGCAAGTTAAAAAAAGATGAAGGTAAAATCTCAAATCTTAAGCCAGATTTGAACTTCTGATAACTTGTAGATGATTTTGAAAAAGAAATTTGGTCAATTTGAAAAAATACATTTTTGACCTTGAAAAGGGAACTTCTGAAATTTTTAAGATGATACTAAACAGTATTTGTTAAGTTATTGGAAGTTTTAAGAATTTGTTAAAGACACCAACCACCGATCGCGGATCACCAACCGCCACACACGAGTCGCCAACTGCCGTCACAAAAAACGGAGACCATAACAATATGTCACCACTTTTTGGTTGGTGGGGACATAAAAATGGACTTCCTATCTGAATGGTTGCCTCAAATCTGGTCATATGCAGCAATTGTTGGGCTTTTCTCTAGAGTGTAGACCCATAGATGCAGTAACTTGACTTATGCCATTGTTTATATTCTAAAAAAGTGGGATAGAAGTCCACATGGGGTTCCATCCATTGCAGTGTTGAATGTGAATGATATAGTAGCACAGAAGGGACTTTTAAGTAAATGTTTTGACTAGTACTATAAATTGTATTTTATAATTTGTATTGTATTTTTTTTGTCCCCATCTTCAATATCATCATTCAACAAGATTGCTTATTCAAATCTAGGTGGAGAACCATTTTTAGCATTTCATCCAAGAGAATTTTGATGTCAGTTTTCTCAAAAATTCACCTTAAAAATATGGCAAATTAAGTAGTATCGTTGTTATGGTCTCCAACTTTTTGTGGATGGTGTTCAGCATTCGAAGTTTGGTGTTTGGTGTTCAGCTATCAGCATTCGGTGTTGTAAAAAATGGCAGGTGGTGACATTTTGCATGACAATGCCATGTTCTGTTCAAGAACATTGGAGCTCTACATCAGGCAACCTGTTAATTATTGTACAAAATGTGGATGTTTGTAATATCAGTTTAGCAGGAGATATTGTTGTTGACCAATATGACTATTGCTGTCATTATATTGCAAACCTAAGTTTATACTGTAAAACATAAAAAATAGAAATAAAATCTTTTTTTAATAAAATTTATTTATGTACAATAACTTGATAGCATGTTTTTACATTGCACCCCAAATTAACTATAAATGCACCATGCATTTTAATAACTGTTGTATATTACATGTAAATAATGTAATATGCATCTAATATCACAATTAATGGACTTTTATAAATATATAGTACTATGTACAAAGCATGTACATAAATGTGCTACATGTGTATAATAATGTAATCATTAGAACTACATCATAACAAATATCAGTCTAATGATAAATAAAACTGACACAATGCATGGGTTTTAACAATGACCCTCTCTTAAGACTGTCTCTTTAAAATTGGGGAATGTGTAAGAAACTACACTTACTCTGAAATTATCATTTTGGTACATACACCGTGAATAAATCACTTCAGAGAAAAATTAATATCCTACATGTATGTGTATAATTAAGAAACACCTGCTCAACATCAAAATGTGACCTGAACTTATCTCCAAAAATCAAACTCTATTAGACTATGGTCATGAGTGCATTAAATACTACCCTATGCCCCTCCTAAGGGTGGTTCTATGTGCCAACTTGTGCAATGGTCAGAACTCTAGAAAATACAAAGTACAGTATGTATGACATGGAGTTGCTCATCTTTGTCTTTCCTTTCCCTAGCAAAGCTACATGTAAAAATATTTCATTTCAGTGAAAGGTTAAAAGTATCTTGCGAGATGTTGGGACATTCTCTGTGTATTTACTTCTCATGAAATATGATATCTCTGAGCCTCCAGGGCCTCAGTAAGATATCTATATTTCCCTCAGGATATACCCCATATCCAAAACCTCCAATAACCTCTCATAAATTAATAATAAAAAGGACTATCTGATTACTTCAGTATGTACACAGGCCCGTAGCCCCCCCCCCCCCCCCGGCCAAGAAATCTTTCAAAATCACGCAGTTTTTCACCATTCTTAGCATTTTTTAAGTGATCTTGGCCATTTTTGGACCAAAATTATCACAAGTGAACCCCCCTGGAATTTTTCAAAAGGTGAAACCCCCTTGGCAAATCCTGGCTACGGGCCTGGTACAGATAACAACTCATTTGTAACTCAGTTTTGATCAGTCATGTTGGTTGTCCTGGAAACCTTATGACACATTCTTAGAAATACAGGTGTCCATATAAAGTCTCTTTACACAGCAGACCTTGTATTGTAATTGTAGAGACCTTATGGACACCTTATGAAATATCCTTAGAAATACAGGGTGTTGATAAAGTCTCTACACAGCAGACCTTGTATTGTAATTGTAGAGACCTTATGGACACCTAATGAAATATCCTTAAAAATACAGGGCGTCCATAAAGTCTCTTTACACAGCAGACTTTGTATTGTAATTGTAGAGACTTTATGGACACCTTGTATTACACAAATATATATTTTGCTGTGACATGTTCAATTTGATAACCCAGGTTTTGAGATTCTAGATCAAAACTCCTATATAAACTGTACATGAGTTAAATTGAGGATTTCATGCTGCAAGAACCCAACCACCTTGCATCAAGTAATAAAGAACCCACCCACCTTGCATCAAGTAAATGGAATGTTACAGTGGAATTGTTGAGCTTGGTGCACTTAACTACAGAGAAACCCCTCTCTTTCACATCATTTTTTTAAGAAAAATTCCTCAATATAAAGACTAGATCCAGATTCAGTAGTTCCTGTTTTAAGGCTGTTCATTGAACAGATGGTGTCATGTCCTACATATTGCCAATTATGCAAGTTTAATATTTGTTTCCTTGACACTGGCTTTCTCGATGTCACGAAATGATTGGAATCTTACACAAGTCATAACGATAACATATGTCTTCAATAATTTAACACACATAAGCATGATTGTGATGTAACGTACAACATACTCATTGTGATGTCACACCACACATCATTGTGATGTCACACATCACATCATGATGATGTCACAACACCTATCATTCTGTCACAACTCCTGTCAATTGTGATGTGGCACCTGTGGGTTCAATATTGTCTAATAAAATCTCCTCAGATTCACCTTCAGTCGCCCTCTTCATCATTGTTTCCCTATCAGCTCTGAAAAACAGAATTCAAATTTAATTACAAGTTCATAATCTTGGTACATGGTCATGTCTGTAACAAGGGGGGTTGTCCTTCCCCAAACAAGGCTAAACATGCAAAATGTCATTACCTGCCATTTGTTACAGATGTTTGATAGTGTCAGAAATATGAATACTGAAAATGTAGCCATTACTTTTGCTCCAGAAACTTAATGAATGCCAACATTTTACTAAAATGTAAACATTTTCTGGGAAAACATGAACTGAACCCCCATTATATTAGCATATGCCTCAAACTTCAAACTCAGTTGCACATCTGGACAAAACAGCCCTGATGTATTAAGATACAGGTCAAATGTTTAAGAGCTCTTTAAAAGGTTTATAGATCTCATCTGCCAGTTCATAAAACTTTTATCAAACTTGGGGTTCCATTTTCACGGAGCCCAAATGAATAACACTTGACCAACCATTTGGATGTGTTATAGTATAGTATGTGTTAAGTGAATTGTCAGATTAGTTTAAATAAATATGTCTTACTTTTTTCCTAATGCCATTATACCATAAAGAGTTGCTGTAACAAAGAGAAGTCCACTTCCAAATACTGTAGACATCTCAAAACAGAAGAACATTGGTAATAGTGCTATTCTGAAATCAAAGAAATACATTAGTTATTTAATTCAGATTTTAATAGGATTTAATTCTAAATCATATTGTAACTGCAAAATTATGTTTTTTAGGAAAAGTGCTAATCATTTTTGGGAGATAAACTTTTAAAAAGTTTAAATCTCATTTTAAACTGCAAACCACAACTTTTTAGCCTAATATTGCCACAAATGCTAACATCCACCAAGGCCAAATTCCCAGGAATTTCTACAGGAATAAATCATAAAATGAAACAAGGCATTAACATGCAAAATGTTGATGCACCACCTGCCATTTGTTCAAGATGCCAAACGCCAACCGCCACCACAAAAAGTGGAAGACAACATGTCACCGCATGTGGTGGTGACATAAAAACGGGAGAGAAAAAACTGATGAGAGTTCCTTCGAAGAACAAGATTATCTCTACTTACATGCCATATCCAATTGCTTTCTGCCAATGAGGCCTGTTGTCTGAGAAATTTCCAATCTGGTTTATAAAGTCTAGACACTGACAACAACATGGTGCCTCAAATACAATTACAATAAATGCAGAACATCTGAAAAATAACAATGAAATGTTATCCAATTATTATAGCTCAAAAATCATACATTTATGACTTCTGTTTAGTCCAATATATACACAGAAGCATAGGCCTAAAGAAAAGTAGTAGTAGGCTTCTACAAACATGTCAAAACAAAGATTGTCTTTCTATATATTGTAACGACCCTTGATAGCAAGTTGCTACTACGGCCCAGCTGTAGTGGCTTAAGCCTTTATAGCTCAGTAAGTAGAGCATAAGTCTTTGGATCCAAGGGTCCTAGGTTCAATTCCCACATGGGGCATCGGATTTAGCACACTTTCTTTCAATTTCTTTATCTGGCTTGTTACACTATGCTCATTAGTTAATTAGTTAGTTAGTCATTCCCCTGGGGCGCCCTCGGGTCATTACATTATGTACTACTATTAACTTTTTTACTACTTTTCCCTTGAAGTATTCTCAGAAGAGTATCAGAACATAAAATAAAAATAATCAGCACACCTTATTTCAAACTGAGAAACAAGTATTTTTATGGATGCTTTCTGATCTGATTTGAGATTGTTTAGTCTCATCAACTTCAAAACTTTAAATCCTTTGTAATACTATAGTCAATGTCGTCAGTGTAATGTAGTAAAGATGAGTATTCTTGCATACCTGCCAACCTAAGACCAAAATTTTGCGGTAGATTTTTTAAAATTGCTGTATTTTTGCGGTAGATTTTTTCAAAATACGGTAGTTTTTGCGGTATTTTTCAACAAAATTGCGGTAGTTTTTGCGGTAGATTTTAGAAAAAACGGTAGTTTTTGCGGTAGATTTTTTAAAAAACAGTAGTGTTTGCGATAGATTTAAAAAATACGGTACTTTTTGCGGTAGATTTTAAAAAAATACTGTAGTTTCAGAGGTTTGGGGTAGATTTTTGAAAAAAGTGTAATTTTGCGGTAGAATTTTGAAAAAAGCGGTAGTTTTGCGGAAGATTTAGAAAAAATGCAGTAGTTTTACGGTAGATTTTAAAAAATGCGGTAGTTTTTTGAAAAACCGGTAGTTTTGCGAAAGATTCTGAAAAAAATTCGGTAGTTTTACGGTAGATTTTGAAAAATGCGGTAGTTTTTACGGAAGCTTTTTGAAAAACTGGTAGTTTTGCGGAAAATTTTGAAAAATGCGGTAGTTTTGCGGAAAATTTTGAAAAATGCGGTAGTTTTACGGTAGATTTTGAAAATTGCAGTAGTTTTTACGGAAATTTTTTGAAAAAACCGGTACTTTTGCGGAAGATTTCGAAAAAATACGGTAGTTTTACGGTAGATTTTGAAAATTGCAGTAGTTTTTACGGTAATTTTTTGAAAAACTGGTACTTTTGCGGAAGATTTGCCAAAATGCGGTATTTTTCGGTAGATTTTGAAAAATGCGGTAGTTAAACCTTTATACAATGCGGTTTTCTATATTAATACAATGTTAACGTGGTCATATTGTTGTTGTTATTGTGATTACATATTTTACTGCAAGAGTGCTTTTGATAATAACAGTTTGTAAAGCAGAACTACCACCTGAGAATTATACGAAACTATTATTTTCAAGAAATAATAGATATACTATTTTCAAGAATAAATAGAGACTAAACACTTTTTATTCTTCATTTACCATGCCTACAATGGACTGACAGCAACTTTAAATTTTAATGTTTCAGCAACTCTTTTACAATAAATCTAGATTGATTCAAAATACGAACACAATATTCAAATCTCCACTTTTATTCACCTTCTAACCATTTTTTTAGATATCAGGATGTTTGGAAATACCATGAATGAAACATTTACTGAAATACAAAATATGGATTTTACACATTTTTACTCACCATCTTAGATGATTTTTCACTTTTACGAATTGAAATGACAGACATAATGTTCATATAACATTGGAATCATATGGTATTAAATATTGATTTGTTCACTCGCAAGTCTCTAATGATATCAATGTGTTTGTCTGGCACAAATAGAAAATAAGTACAGGTCAATTGTCTTTCAAAAATAATCTGTTATGAGCATTTGCTGAAACCTTTCCCCTGAGACATCGTTCAGATTCGGATATCACAATACTTTTATAATAAACCAGAACTCAATGCTTTATTTTTTAATTATGTATTTGTTACTGATAATGTGTTCTGATGAAAAATACATTTTATCGTTCTGTAAACAAATTGATTAAACTATGTATAATGTATATATGGCGTTCATTACTGATCATAACAAATCAAACTACGCATATTTCATACGCTAAATATGCATACACATTTCACTCATTTATTTAGATGAAGCGCAACTAAAATCATATTTTTGTTGCATTCGGAATAAAGATCTGTGTACAAAAGGGTTTGGTTAACTACAAAAATCATGGCAGAAAGAATTCTTTCTAGCAAGTGGTAGTTGGTGTTTGGACTGATTACACGCAAGCTTACTTAGATAGATGCGCAATAACCTGATAACCACAGACCTGCCGATACCTATTTATATTCGGGTTGTTGGTGAAGGAATATTACAGGGACAGTACAGGAAGACTTCAATTTTTCAGCATTTCTCAATAACAATAATGGGAAATTTTACAGTAGTTTGAACAAAAATACTGTTGATTTTAGCAGAAATACGGTAGATTTTCGAAAATTTACGGTAGATTTTCAAAAATTTACGGTAGATTTTACGGCCGTTCTCATGGAATAAACGAGTTTTTTAAAAAGAAAATTTACGGTAGATTACGAAAAAAATACGGTAGATTTTTTTATGGGCGTTTTTACGGGAAAAAAATGGTATCTTTTTACGGTAGTTTGTCATTTTTTTACGGAAAAACGAAAAATTTACGGTAGATTCCCGTAAAAATACGGTAGGTTGGCAGGTATGTCTTGATTAAATTCAATGTTAATGCAAATGTATTGCAAGTTCAACTCAAATTGTATTCTCCTGATGAGTTGCACCTCTAATATATATATACAGTAAAACCTGTCTTGGTGAACACATCTCTCTAGTGAACACCTGTGTTTAGCGAACACCACTTCAAGACACATTTTACATTATCTCTGCATAAAATCCTCTCTCTGTAGTGAACACCTACCTACAGTGAACACTTTTTGTGGCTAAATAGGTGTTCACTATATACAGGTTTTACAGTACACTTTACATATACTTACATTTGGAGTATTCCTGCCACAATACATATGGCTTTAAAGGTGATGCAGACAAACAGTCCAAGGGCCATTGCAACTGGAAAATATGAACATATCAGATTATTCCATAATAAGCATGTTAACTATTACAGTTCAAATGTATTTCTGCAATATGTATTCATTTTTTGTTAGTATTACAGTCAATTTTATAGTCAAGTGTAGTTGTTCACACGAGAAATGGGCGGTCCAATGTAATAGCATAAGGGCAATGGTTTGAGGAGTGTACAGATTGAGTACAATTTATATTGTGGTATCATTATATGATTTTGATGGAATTAAGGAATTACACCCAGTAATGGCATCTTTATGTTTTTGTTGTCCTTTGATACAAAATTAACAACATATTCGACAAAAACATATTTGGTTGGAAAAGTATTTTTTCAATGAGCAATACTAAAGCATGGCATTAATATGCAAAATCTCGCTACCTGCCATTTGTTACAGACACTGAACGCCAAATGCCGAACACTGAACACCTTGCGTGACAAACACAATCCACCAAAAAGTTAGAGACTCATGACATAAGAATGTCTAATTTAGAGTAGACATGGGATTTCTCCTTGAATATATCAATTATAACCATGCAGTAAAGTGGTATGATAACACATTTGAAACAAGAGTCTAAAGGGGGCGTGTCCTTGAGTGGGCGATAATAGAGAAATTTAAAATGATACACTTTTTTATCTTACTTTGTCCCCGGTTCTTTGAAAAGAACACCATAAGATCAAATACCCTTGGTGTAGAAATATAACCAGTACATGAGTTACCATCACACATTTCAATTTTACGAGTCTATTTCATAAGATATGACTTAGAGGAAATGGCAAATTTTTAAAAATATATTGGTGACTCACTTATGGATGACACTATCGCCACTGCTTTTGTCATCAACTTGAACCACCACGCCACTCCATCGTTCTGTTGGCCCGATTCCGATGGGGAACTTGTACCTACTCCCATGTTTAAAGAGTCTTTTTATGTTAATATACAAGCTAAATATCAAGAAATCTGTTCTAATATGAGCCGCTTCAAAATCATCTTTGTTTACGTGTAAATTTGGCCTCGGTTTCGATAGACCTTGACCTCTGCACCAAAACAAAATGAGAGGAAGAAATTTTTGAAATTAGTGGAATTTGAACCCATTATGTGCCACTGTTGAGGAGTAGAGATTGGTTCGTATCTTATGAAGTTAATTATTGATAAAACTCTTACCTGTTTTCGTCCAGTTTTGCTAAACATTAACTTATGTTTTGAATAAGATCCACGTGAAGTTTGCATGATTGCCAATCTCTGTCCTCAGCCTCCACCTTTCAACTTCAATTCAAAACCAATGGCATAACCAACAATTAGTTCACATGCGTACATACCAGCCTTCTTGATTGTATGATGACTTAGCATATTTTCGTACTCTATATAAGGCTAAAGTCAAGATTTTATTACTTCAGATTTCTACCGAGAGTGTTGGACTCGACATATCATTCCTGAGTAGAGTTACTCTGACTTAGATACCAAATAGCACAGTATATGCATTCCATGATGTGGAGAAAATCATTTATCGGAGAGATTAGACGGATAACAAAACGACAAAAAATAGTCGAGAATGGTGTATGCAGTCATTGTCTCTCTACGACTGTGCCTCCAAATTTTGACCAGTCCCGATCAAAGCACCATCAACAAGCATTTAAACTCAAACAAGTTGAGGTACCAAACATAAAACAGGAATTTCAGGGATTACAAACCGATTTCCCATGCCTGACAAAAAAGTGAGTCAGTTTTGAAGGATTTAAGCCCAGGAATCAATGATTTGTTGGTGATTTACTACATGGGATTCTTGTTTACAACTTAAAATGAGTGTATTCCAAGTTTTAAAGCTACCATACAATAATCAAGTACAATAAATCCTGCCAGCTGAATAAATCGCCAACAATTCATTCAACTGTGCTTCAGCTTGCAAACCATTTTGGACAGTATTGTAAATAATTGATTTTTTAACCAGAAACATTTTAAAATCCCAACTGGGAAAGACATATTGCTACGAAGGTAGGGTTATTTTATTTTACTTCACTCCCTCCTTCCTGTGTTACACATCTTTTAGAATATTATTTTTAATTCTATTAAATAGTAGATACTGTAACATTATAATGTACTTAATTAAGCTAGTTAGGATTTTATATCAGGTGATTGTACTAATTAGCTAGATTATGGTTTTATTTAAATTAAATAGGCCAGGCCCGTAGCCCGTTGGATGCGCCCCCCAACACCTACCCCCCCCCCCCCCCCCCCTTTCAAAATCATGCAGTTTTTCACCATTCTGATTCTGAGGATTTTTAAGTGATTTTTAGACCAAAATTGTCCTGGAATTTTCAAATCCTGGCTACGGGCTTATATAGCTAATTGAAGATGTAGTGCAGTCTAATTTTCATATAAACCCTTTTCTAGTGATCCATTTATCTTTTATTAATTATGCTATTATGCTAATTAAGTGTTTGAATTAAGACTCCCAATGGCAAACTAAAATAAAATAATTGATGAGATAAAAACATGTTTCAAGCTGACCTGATAAATAATTCAAACATATAAAAAAACATTCGAATAATCAGATGTAAACAAGACTGGATAGGATGTTAAATGATCTTTTACCAAGCTAATACTTTTATTACAGCAAGCCTTCTGGTCCGGAACCCGAATATGGTAAGATAGTGTCAGGATTCAAAGTATATGACCATGATGAGCCTTTTAAATTGAAATATAATGGAGGGCTCCTTCCGAACCTCAGCATTGCATACGAAACCTGGGGAGAATTGAATGAAGACAAAAGTAATGCCGTCTACATATGTGCAGGACTTTCAGCAAGTTCACACGCAAGAAGCCACCTGGTAATTTTTTTTGATCATTTTGATAAAAAGTTATATCCTTATGATTATTTATAGACATTTTTATATTATATTCATTTGATTATGCTAAATACTTAAAATGTTAAGAATTTTAAAATAATACTGAATCATTAGAAACATCCTATCAGGTGTTCATTGTAATCATTTCTATCTCTATTTTGATATTGCATAACAGAGTGTATTTACTTTAATGATAAACAGTACTATCAATGTTTAACGCATGAGGTAAAACGTGTGTTTGCCTATATAGAGCTATATAAGTATAGTTAAAGCTGTCTTAGTGAACAGCTTTCTCTAGTGGACACCTCTCTCTAGTGAACAACTCTCTCCAGTGAACACCTTTCTGTAGGGAACATCCTTCCTCCACACTAATCTCTACTTACTTCTATATAAAGTACACTCTCTGTAGTGAATACCTTCCAACAAAGAATGCTTTTTTTCAGCAAAAAAATATATACAGGTTTTACTTTATATGGCATTCATATTTACATGTGGTAATTATTTTGGGGGGATTTACAGGCATTTACAGACAGTCACATAAGATAATACCTTTCTTGAGCTTCCAATAGTTAGTAAATCATAGACCTTCTACAAATTGTGTATATGTAGCCTAGCTCATATTTGGAGAATTATTTTTTATTATGTTACCACCACAAGTGGTGCACATTGTTATAGTCTCTGATTTTTTTGTGGACAGTGTTTGAAGTGTTATGTTTCTGTAACAAATGGTGGGTTGTGACATTTTGCATTTGTTTTAGAAGTAGTTTGTCCCCTCCCTGTCTTCAGCCTTACCCCATATCCGTCCTGTGTTTCCAGCCCAGAGGTTGCAGAATTGGGGATTAGATAAAGTGTAACTTGTTACAGTTTCTCAATTATTGCACTCTGACCCTACCCAGGCACATGCACATTGTCCTTGGTCTTTATATAAATCCTGATGAAAATGTACATTATTTTCTTGTTTAACTTATGTTTGTTACTGTATTAGTTAGGGTTGTCTTTTGTACTCTTATACCCTATAAGGGGTGAATTGAGAAATTAATAAATAAATAGATAAACAAAATAATCATTTCTTTAATATTTCAGGCAAATCCCAATGCTGGTTGGTGGGAGAAGTTTGTGGGACCAGGATGTGCAGTTGATACATCAAAGTTTTTTGTCATATGTGCAAACAATCTTGGTGGCTGCTATGGAACTACGTAAGTTTTTTCAGGCCATGGCCATTCTTAATGAGCGCTTAAAATAATTGCTTGTTACCATAATAATGTTACGTTGACTTGAAATGACTATATGTAACATCAATTCATCAGCATTAGGTATTGATAAATAAAAAGAAATCTAAACATTTTTGGGGTTGGCGAAATAGTAGGATTAAATTTCTTTGTGGATGCCATTTCTGCATTTTTGTCTTAAATAATATTTCCGTACCCCACAAACAGTGCCACAAAGATATAGTTTAATCGTTGAATATGACACCCATAGTACAGTATGTCAATGGGTCATGAAATATAAGAGTATGTACACACAACAGATTATGCATGAAACACTCTATTACAACTTTTGGGTGTTGACAGGTTGAATTTAATAAAATTGCTCTTTTGTTAAAATTCTCCTCACGAATGAAGCAACCAGACCCGGTGTGTCACTCTAACCAATATTTATTAAAAACATCCCAGGGCTTAAAATATATATGGTTACATATCTTGGTAAGGTAGCAGATTTATGTTTTCCATTATAGGCAATGAAAATATGTTCAGTTTGCATCCAAAAGCAACATAATTTAAATTATGAAATAAAAAATATCAGGTCCTTACCAGGAACCCCCCTCCCCTGGCCAAATGTTTTTTCAAAATCATGCAGTTTTCACCATTTGGAGCAAATTTTCCCACGATTTTGGGCATTTTTGGGCAAAAGTTGTCAAAACAGAACCCCCCTAAAATTTTTTGGAAAGTGAACCCCCCTTTGGAAATCATGGCTATGGGCCTGAATATTGTTACCCTTTGCATTATTCACTTCTTCACTTCTTAAAAGAGAGCTTCGTCTTCACTCTTTCAGTTTACAATAAATCTCTGAACTCACCTAGCCAATCAGAGTTTGTCGTCAAAATACGAATGACTTAAATGTCTTTCTATACAGTCATTTCCTCTGACATCACCGCAGAGTTGATGAGTACGTATTTAGCACGTGTTCCTTCAACTTCGCTAATTGGTTGAGAAAGGGTCGGCATGGAAGATTTGGAAAAATTTATCACCCGGGCTGTCACAAGCACCAATCTTTGGTGCGGGGCTGCTAAACTGTAGTATAGTTTCGGCAGAGGGTAGTTTGTAGCTAGACTGTGCTCAGGGTAGAATATTGTATTAAGTATCATGTTCCTAAAGCTGTTGACAGTTGCTTTTAATACAAAGTAGCAAAAATAGAACATGTTCAGAGTTATTTGCAACTTTGTTGTAAATATTTGTATTGCAACATTTGTATACAGTGTTTTGAGTAGAATTAAAAGATAACATTGTAACAGATACATTGAAATCATTATTTATGTCACCACCACAAGTGATGACATATCAGCTCCAACTTTTTGTGGATGGTGTTCTGTGGTTGATGTTTGGCATTTGGCAGTTGGTATTCAACGGTCAGTGTCTGTAACAAATGGTAGGTGGTGACATTTTGCATGTTAATGCCATTTTATTGTTTAGTCTTGCTCCTAGCCACTTAAAGTAGAAAAACAAAATGATGCCACAAATGTTATCAGCTTATACCTCAAGCATTCTTGAGGCTCTTAACAGTAACAGTGTCTTTTAAATAGGATTACATTTCATACAGTCATGCGAGTTTGGCCATCAAAATTGAAAGTCTCTTGCTTATATAATCATTTTTGTATCTTATTAGTTAATTCGAATATAATGGGTACGTGAAAATAGAATAAAAATAAAATACTCAAGTGAAAATAAGACATGGTATTAAAGGCCTATTATGTAATCAGGCCCGTAGGCCGTAGCCGTAGCCCCCCCCCCCCCCCCCCCCGGCCAAAAATTCTTTCAAAATCATGCAGTTTTTCACCATTTTGAGCACTTCTCAATTGATTTTAGCCATATTTGGGCCAAAATTGTCAAATGTGAACCCACCCTGGAAATTTTTTAAAACTGAACCCCCCTTGGCAAATCCTGGCTACGGGCCTGGTAATCCTATGTAAAAATATCTTAATCAAAAATAAACATGTGGTCTTAAAATTAATATCTTTTGCTCAACATCCTCAGTATTTTGGTATAGGATAAAAGTGGATGAATGGTAGAGCACTTTAAATCCACGTTATAATCATATTTTGAAAGTGTTCAACACGTCTTGACTTAAAATTAGTTCTGCGATCTGCTTTGGCTTCCAGAGTATTTTGGTTCATGATAATGAAATTTGGGAATGACTTCAAGGTTCTCACCAGAAAATTTTTAGACCCCGGATTTTTCGTGGTATCGCGACTACTCACTTCCCCATGTGAGGTCAGAGATATCCTATTAGTATATTTTTCAAAATTCTATTTCAGATTATCTTCCTATTTTAATCACAATACACATTTCTTATTCTAACCTATATTCCTTTTTTGTTTCCAGTTTTATGTATTTTCTCAAGAATTTTACCACAAATAATGTGACAAAAATTGGACTCTGGATAAAATACTTTGACTCCATCTATTAGACTCTGGAGCAAGAGGGTCTAAAGACATTAGACTCTGGAGAATCTCCGAAGTCTAGAAACCTTGTGAGAACCCTGGACTTGAAGGCTTCCCAATCCACTTGAATATCATGTTTTTAAACACTTAACTTAACACTTAACTTGGAATAGCAATTGACCTGGTCATCACACATGACTCTAAAAGTTCACAATATCAAACTCAATATGATAAAATGAAGAATTTCGGTAAACAGCTCAGATAAGTATTTGTTATTAGGAATAGTTTTGTGACTTTTGAAATAATTTGGATAAAACCATTTGATAAAACCTACTTGTAAAGATTTGACTTTGCTCTCCTTGATAAAAGTTGATTTAAATCCCCCCCCCCCCGATAATACAAATAATAATGATTATTAAGAGAATTTCATCAAAACAATTGAAGGTCATAGCAACATATACCCACCCATTCATAATAAACTTTGGACTCTAAACAACATCAGTATTGACCTTTAATACTCTGATCAAGAATCAAGATCTAGTATTTTTTAACAGATTGACATCAGACCTTGAACTGAATATCCCAAAATTTATAATATTGAATACTGGTACTCAAGTGTTTATTTATATCTAAAGATTGATTAGTTGTATCCTTATATAAGGTTTGTTTTTGTCACAAAATTAGTCTCTGGCCTGGTGCATTACAGAAAATCATTTGTTTATGAATTTCTTTTTTGGGGAGGGGATAAATGGATATTTTTCTATTATGTCACCTACTACGAATCTCCTACATTTTTGTGGACAGTGTTCAGCATTCGGCACTTAATATTCGGCAGTTGGCATCTGTAACAAATGGCAGTGATGACATTTTGCATGTTAATGCCTTGTTTATTTCTTTAAAGACTTCAAAGCTCTGTATTGCATCCTGATGTGCTAGATAAAATGTTATATTGTATGTAATTTGTTGTTGTTGTAAGTTGATATATGCACTGATACACCCTGCACTTACTTAAGGTGTCGAGTGCAAATATTTTGTGTTATGTTCCAATATGCTGAATTAAAGCAGATAGATAGATGTATTTGGACATGTTTTTTCATCAGTAGTGTGAAAACTATTTCACTCTAACGATCGTTATCGCTGCTTAATATAAGCAATATTCGAATTGGTTGTGACGTTATTGGCCCCCACGTGATCTCTCACTGGTCCCCACGTGGCCTGTTTTGGTCCATTAGATCATGACGGCATAATGCCAAAATGTTTTGTTATTTGTTTACACAACAATCCTATGGTTGCCGTGACGTTGTGATTACTATGGAACCAATAAACCAAAGCTATAATTTGTATATGACGTTACTAATCACGTGGGGGCCAATTTGATTCATCAGTTAGTTTTATTTCGTTATCTATGACCGTTAGCAGTTATCTAACATTTATTTTATAATGGCTATTGCAAGAACTCTACGGTGGGCTTACAATGGAGAAAACCGCATTTTTGTAGCTGCAAGTTGAGAAAAGCTATTTCAGTTGTCCTTTAAATAAACTATTAACTAGCTGTAAGCGTAATACAGAGAATCAGCATCGCAATTGCATCATTGCTGCTGTTTGACACTTTATTAAATTTTGTAAATTTCGTTGTTATTCACAAGAATTAAACAGATCTAATTTAATATGATGTGATTGTTTCCAAAATTTCTATAATTTAAATTAAAGTCTCTCATCTAAAACAACCTCATTTAAGGGCCCTGGATATTCATAAATAACCTTGTTGAGCAAACAGTGACATATTTAACAAAGAGTTGTTCAGGTTACAAGATTGTTAAACAGTATGTTTTCCAAAGTACATGTATTTCATAATCACAATTTTAGGGTCCTGGATGACAATAAACAACCTTTAAGTTAGACAGTATTGTTGCAAATAGACATTATAGCAAAATAAAGTACTTAATGCGCTACTTACCAACTTTAAAGAAACATCTTATGATTTATTAGATATCATTAACACAAGAAAAAATAAGCTACTTCATTCTGCCTAGTGCACTTGATAAAGTGGTGGCAAAGACTAAAGAGTGAAAAATCTTTTAAAATATTCAGTCATCAATTTATTCCCATCTTTTACCATTCTATTTCATTTTTTTATCTCAACAAAACCTTAAGCTTCATCAATCATCTCAAAAAAATGTTGATTTATTTGTAATATAGTAATTAACATGGCAAAAATGCTTAATTTAACCTAGCCGCTGTCACGGGTATTGTGAATATTGTAAAAAAAGAAACCATAAAAACTAAAAAGAAACTTACAGTTTCTTAGTATGTGAACCAATGGAAATTTAGTTACTATATTTTTCAGTGGGCCTTCTTCCATCAACCCCATTACAGAGGAAGTAAGTTTTTGTTTCCTCCAAATCTTTTTCATGCACTACCTTTCAAAATGCACACTGTATTTATTTAAATTAAAAAATGAGTTCTAAAGCCTGTCTTTGATCTTTATTATTTTATTTTCTGCATTTCTGCATCCTTGAGGCAAAAATGCTTCAAAATGCACAATGTATTTATTCATATTAAAATTAAAGAATGAGTTCTGAAACTTTTCACCCTTTTCAAAAATTAAAATTGATCTTTATTTTGTTCTCTGCATTTATCATACCATTCTCTAGGAATTTTGAGGCAAAATGTCTTCAATTTGGTAGAGATAAACATCTCTGAAATTAACCAATCTCACAAATTAAAACAATATGTTTATTTCCAGCCATATGCCACTACATTTCCTATTATCAGTGTACAGGACATGGTCAATGCTCACTTCTTACTGCTGGACAGTTTGGGAATAAAAAAGGTATGCATTCACTTGACCTTTACTTTATATCATGGGCAGAAAAAATGGAATATATCATGGGAGTATCCAATTGGATATATCATGGGAGTATCCAATGGAATATATCATGGGAGTATCCAATTGGATATATCATGGGAGTATCCAATTGGATATATCATGGGAGTATCCAACTGGATATATCATGGGTAGTATCCATGAGAACATATTGTGGGAGTATCCAAGGGAATTTATGGATAATATCAAAGGGAATATCATGGGGAATATCCAATTGAATATATCATGGGTAGTATCCATGAGAACATATTGTTGGAGTATCCAAGGGAATTTATCATGGGTAGTATCCATGAGAACATATTGTGGGAGTATCCAAGGGAATTTATGGATAATATCAAAGGGAATATCATGGGGAATATCCAAGGGAATATATCATGGGTAGTATCCATGAGAACGTATTTTGGGAGTATCCAAGGGAATTTATGGATAATATCAAAGGGAATATCATGGGGAATATCCAAGGGAATATATCATGAGTAGTATCCATGAGAACATATTGTGGGAGTATCCAAGGGAATTTATGGATAATATCAAAGGGAATATCATGGGGAATATCCAAGGGAATATATCATAGATAGTAACCATGAAAAGATACCGATTGAGTATCCCAGGTAAGTGAATGTATCATCTGTAATATCCAAGGAAACATATCATGTGTAGGACATGTATCTAAGGGAATATTTCATGGGTAAAATCCAAGAGAATAAATCATGGAGATTTTCCGAGGGAATATAAATGTAGGGCTCTAAAAATGGGCTAAAAAGCTAAGACATATTGTGCATGAATAATTGGAAAGTTAATAGACTAGACCACACGAGACTAGACTAGTTAAACATTATAAGTTCATTGCGACAAATGTTACATAGTTGATGTGTCTGGGTGTAATCATAAAGTAATGTTACAATGAAATTTCAAAGCATTTTAACACATTGGAAATATCTCAATGTTTCAGCTCCATACATGTGTCGGCTCGAGTCTCGGAGGAATGTTATCTCTCACTGCTGCTGTGCAATACCCAGAAAGGGTTGGCAGGTATGTGTGTTATACACTGTGTATTTGTACACTGTGTATGTATGGACTATGTGTACTTTAATATATACACAGTATGTGGAATTTCTATATGAACAAAGTTCCGAAAACTCACTTTTTCCCCTTTAGCTCTTTAACATGGTCCCCTTTACCTTTGATATATACTTGGATGGGTTTGTGATCTGTAAACCTTTCTGTTTCTTCTTTTAGATTTGTGTCTATATCGTCATGTGCAATGTCACACCCCTCATCAATAGCCATGAGGTACTTACAGAGGAAGAATATAATGACAGACCCTAACTGGAACAAGGGATACTATTACAATGGGAAGTATCCTAGAATGGGGATGAAGCTAGCCAGGTATTGTACCCTTTTAAAGTTTCAGTTTGCTTTGTTACTATTCTCTCAGCAAATTTCAAAATCAAATGTCAAAATTTTCAATTGATTCTGAATAATCTTCAAATGGTATTGGATAATCTTCAAATGGTTTTGGATAATCTTCAGATATTATCGCATAATCTTCAACTGGTGTTTGATGATCTTCATTTGTTTTGTGTGTACATTCCTTAAATGATATTCGATAATCTTCAAATGGTTTTGGATGATTTTCAAATTTTTTAATAAAATCTTCAAATAGTATCGCATAATCTTCAAATGGTGTTGGATAATTTTCAAATGGTGTTGGATAATCTTCAAATGATGTTCGATAATCTTCATATGGTGTTGGATAATATTCACATGGTGTTGGATAATCTTCAAATATTATCATATAATCTTCAAATGATGTTTGATAATCTTCAAATGGTGTTGGATAATCTTCAAATGATGTTGAATAATCTCCAAATGGTGTTTGATAATCTTCAGATGTTGTTGGATAATCTTCAAATGGTGTTGGATAATCTTCAAATGATGTTTGATAATCTTCAAATGGTGTTGGATAATCTTAAAATATTATCACATCATCTACAAATGATGTTTGATAATCTTCAAATGGTGTTGGATAATCTTCAAATGGTGTTGGATAATCTTCAAATGGTGTTTGATAATCTTCAATTGGTGTTGTATAATCTTCAAATGGTGTTTGATAATCTTCAAATAGTGATTGATAATCTTCAAATAGTCTTGGATAATCTTCAAATGGTGTTGGATAATCTTCAAATGGTGTTTGATAATCTTCAAATGGTGTTGGATAATCTTCAAATGGTGTTGGATGATCTTCAAATGGTGTTGGATAATCTTCAAATTTTGTTGCTTAATCTTCAAAACGTTTTGTTATGTTCTTCAAATCATGTCTAACATTCTTTTTCTGGTTTCTGTAATGAAATTCTACATTTTCTTTACAGAGAAATTGGGACACTTACCTACAGAAGTGGACCTGAGTGGGATGAAAGGTTTGGGAGAAAGCGCATAGATGAAAATGAGGCTAAAACACCGAGCCTCTGCCCCACCTTTATGATTGAGAACTACCTAGATTACCAGGGGGAGTCTTTCTGTACAAAGTTTGACCCAAACTCACTGCTCTATATATCAAAGGTAATAAAACATTTGGATGGCAGTAATCCATAATTACAGAGGTAGTTCAGGTGTATAATTGTAATTTTAGTAAAGGATTTTCAATGTTATTTCCAAAGGGAAATAATGCATATTAATAACTTCAAAACTAACTTATTGTTTCATTCCTTTTGAATGTCAATAACATCTTTCTTGATCGATGTAAGGTTGACAAACTGTGTCTATGAGGAGACTACATTCTGCCTCGGCTTTCAGAATCTGTTACAAATGGCAGGTGGTCAATGCCATGATGTCTTTATTTATTGAAATTTAAAATGACATATTAGTCAGATCTTGGGGGAAAATTGTTGTTTAATGTTACTTTTTCAGGCTATGGACCTGTTTGATATTGGAGAGGGGTTTAATAGTGTAGATGAGGCTTTGAGCATGACCTCCTGTCCTGCAATGGTGATTGGAGTCCAGACTGACATTTTGTTCCCCATCTGGCAACAGAGGGAACTTGCAAAGATGCTACAAGATTCAGGTAACTAAAACTAGATTCTAGAAAAAATATGAGATTTTGATACCAGAACTGTAACTAGAAAGAAGAAGGCTGATTTTTTATTGTTTGAGGATGAATTGAGGGGCTTTAATTAAGAAAAAATAAAACAATTATTCTTTTATGTGTAGCTCTGAATGTTGATTTTTAATTCATATGGGTTTTTGGAAATGAAAAAAAATCAAAACAGCAAGCAGCTGTATTTTTGTTGGAATAAAGATGGCAGACTAAGTGGGGAAGAGTTGAAAAAACATTATGTGGGAAATAATATTACGAACCTTTATCTAACTGTTATATTCCAGTTAGTTCAACCATGGTCATCCAGGGATGAGGCATTGCGGCGAAATTTTACAGAAAAATGTTAATTCAGATATTTTTACAAAAGAAACTTTAATGTTTTGTGATGTTATTTCACTTTTAAATCACATTTGACTTGTCAAATAAAATTTTGATCCTGGCTACGCTGATTTCTCAAGTAAAAGTACAATTGATCGGTGACACATGAGAACAATACATTATTAGAACCATTTGTTCATATTACATTCTCTGATTTCAGGAAATACTGCTGTGACGTTCTACGAGTTGAATTCCTTATATGGTCATGACACATTCTTGCTTGACTTAAATGGAGTTGGTGCTGCAGTAAAGGTAATAAATTTAGATCAGGTTATTCATACATTGCATAAGAGGGAGGTTTTGGACACTGATGTAACTGATGTATCCCACACCTGGTTGCAGGTGCATTTTTTTAACCTTAACTCATTGCTGACCAACCCCGAGATATTTCGTCTATGATGTCGTAATCGGATCTGACCAACCAAGATATATCTCGGGGTGCTGTCCCATAACTGCCACATAATCTGTACCAATTATCTTACCAAATATACTAGGGGTCACTAGAGGAACCTGGTAGGGTGCAATTGAAATATTTTGTCATTGGCCTCACAAATGGCATTTAACTCAGAGCATAGCGTGTTGATACAGTCTATTTTATGCTTATGTGAAAACATGCAATTTTGCTTAATTTTCCATCAAAGTTGCCAGACGAGCAGAAAACCTCCAAAAATAGCTTTGGCCACCAATGAGTTAAAAGGTAGAATGTATATAGAACTGTAAAATAGGTATGGGATAAACCCTGTATCAAGAACACTATACAAATGAAACCCTACACTTGAAAACAAAAAACTTGGAAATTCAATACTCTGTTTATACTAATGAATTTAAAATAGAGTAAAACCTGTAAATTGGAAATCCTCTTTATACAGAAGTCCTCCATAAGTAGATCACATTTCAAAACTCACTGTAAAATGAACCTTTAACTGGAACACCTCCCGAATGTAACAATATTTTGAAGTATAAAGGTGTTCCACTTACACAGGAACTGTGTAAAAATATTTCTACTCTACTTTTTGATTTTTAAAGGAGTGGTATCGATATGGAGAACTGAATTCAACAATGTTTTTCTCTTAAACCAATCATTGAAAACATTCTGTAAAAAACATGGTATTTTATGTTGACTGATTGACAACAATTTAATGAGAAAATTATTTAGAAATATAACTGTTTTTGTTAACATTTTTTATTGTTTAGTGCAATTGTTTTTGCTCCTTTCTACCTATTCTTGAGAATGAAATAAAATGTGTTTCTGAACCTTGTTGGAACAAAATAGCATATACAACATGTTTTTAGACCTCTCAATATTTTAGTTATACGCTTTGAAATCAACACCCACATATAACTAGTGGATCTTATCTCATGGCAATTAGGCAATTTTAAAAATGACATGTAATATGTATGAACTTTATAGAAAATATGGTAAATTGATCTTGATGCCAAATGGCCTTAACCCTATGCATAACCCCGATTCTTATAAAACATTAGAAAGGAGTTGTATCGATATGGAGAACTGAATTCAACAATGTTTTTCTCTTAAACCAATCATTGAAAACATTCTCTAGAAAAACACGGTATTTTATGTAATGTTGACTGATTGAAAACAATTTAATGCGAAAATTATTTAGAAATATTTTATATAACTGTTTTTGATAACATTTTTGTTTTTTTTAGTGCAATTGTTTTTGCTCCTTTCTACCAATTCTTGAGAATGAAATAAAATGTCTTTCCGAACCTTGTTGGAACAAAATAGCATATACAACATGTTTTTAGACCTCTCAATATTATAGTTATACAAAGGAATTTTTGGTTGATTTTAAAAAAGTATTCAAAAAATTAAAAACAAAATCCCCCCAAAATAGATAAAAATCAAGATAAACCTTTTATTTCATTAACAAGATACTTTTTTAAAATCAACCAAAATTTCTTTTGTACAATTACAATATTGAGAGACCTAAACATGTTGTGTTTATGTCGTTTTGTTCCAATGAGGTTTGGAAAGATGTTTCATTTCACTCTGGAAACATAATACCAAGAACAAAACAAGTGTTTGATGTGTTTTCTAAAACAAGATAGATGAAAGTATATATATATTTCAAATTATATTGTTACCATTCAAAAGATGACCATTAAATTGACGATGTGTTCAATTTTTGGGATTTTTTTGTGACTGGTGAAAGAGAAACGTGTTTTCAAAAAGTTCTCCATATCGATACCACTCCTTTTACTGTATTAACTTTTTGTCACTTAGTCACTCCAAATTGATTCATGTCACATGTGAATTTTCTTATGTCACAATTGTTATTTTAAATTGTCGCGTGTCTCAGATAGTTACTTTAAATTATGTTATGTCACACATAGTTACTTAGAATGTTCTTGTATTTCAGGGATTTCTAGAGACAGAGCTAAGGGAGACTGGAATGTTAACTGAAAAGAGAAACGCCCACCAGAGAGACAGGAAACTTTTCTAAACTATTACAGAAGAAACTTATTGCCACTTTAAAGGTGTCAATCTGACAATATGCCATCTATGGCTCGAGTATTGTCAATAGTATTAAGAAACAAGATTTCTTGATGTGTGTCCTTCTGCCCACCTACCAACCTGACATACAAAATATGCCACACAGTGGATTAATACAGTCTCTCTTAGTGTACTTGACAAAATTGAAATCAGGGAATTCAAGACAGAAATAAAAAGTCCTTCCTAATGCAACAACAATGGACTATTATTCACACTTCTTTCAAAAGCAAGCCACCAGAGTTCAATAACCAATGCAGTTTAGTAAAGTGATAGTTGCAGAAAGCATGAAACATGTATTGGTTTGGAAAAGATCAGAAAGATTACTTCAGGTCTCAGATTATTATTTTTGAATAACATTTGTTAGTCTCTTTAGAATTTCATGCATTTAATACCAAATGTAGTGTTTTAAACTCCTAGAACGTCACAGGAGTATTAACCGCCTTGTATATTGTATTTTACTGTGTTGTATTGTAATATTTTGTTTTTTAACAATGTTCATTTTAGAGATCTTGAGATTATTGAAGTGTAAAGCCTTCTCTATTTTGAGAATTTAAACTTGGATTTTGGGTCTCACTGAATATTTAATAAACTCTAACTTATAGTGAGTTTCCTATATTGAGCCCCATGGGCTTATAACCACAGCACTAGTAAATAGTTACCAGTTTCACCACCAGGTGGCTAACTTGCACCAGATATGCTATTCACCCCAGGCTGGAGTATTTCAATAGTATAGTTTCTAAATAGCTAAATAAAGCTGAATAAAGCTGACATAATAGATGTCACCTTTGTTCATCTTGGGCCAACCTTCCATTGAGTTCTATGCTAAAAGCTTGCAATAGTCACTTAATTTCATGATTTATCAAAGATTGTTAGTTAAATCTGTCTGAAATTTGAATGGCATACTATTAAATGACCCTGTCAATGAACATATTGTGATTAAACATGAAAATGTTGGTTGTCATACGATTAAACCATCAATGATGATGATCGATTAAAAGCATCAATGGAGATTTGGCCCAAGTTTTTTTAAAATGTCATGGAGAATGATTTAAATGACATAAATGTGTAAATCAAAGCTATTATTGTTGGAAACATATCACTGAATTCAAATATGCTATTAAAAAGAAAGAAAAGTAAGTCATTAGAGGTAAAATGTGCAAATCTCTTAAAATCTCATGAAAAAACGAGAATTAGCGAGATTTCAAAATCATTTAGAAACTCCTCTATTCTATATTTAGCATTATTTATGTATTGTATGCCCAAATAAGGTATGAGTGGCAAATTTTTTTGTATATGTCACACATTATAAGGAATTTAACAATAACAAGCTAAAATGTTTAGAGTCTAATGTACAGCTTCAAGCAATGCCTCAGTTTAGGTAAACTTCCATTTATTCATATGGATTCACCCATCACCACCCCATTTATTGTCTTCTTGGTGCTTTATTCAAGACTGCAATCTTCAATACATAGTTAGCATAAACACTAAATTACTTAACATATACAGTAAAACCTATCTATATTGAAGATTTCAGCATTGCTAGGTGTTCACTACAGAGAGGGTAATTTATACAATAGTCAATGAAGTATCTGCGAAGGAAGGGTGTCCATTAGGTGTTCACTAGAATTGAGGTGTTCACTAAGACAGGTTTTACTGTATTTCATTCTTTATAATAAGAGGTCGTTGGGTCTATCTTAAGGGATGATATGATATCTTCCCAAGAAAATAAAAATCAAAAAAGACTATTTTTCATTTTTTTGTATGGTATTCCTAGTATTTTGTTAATTATGTGAAGTATAACGCTACTATGTAAACCAAATCGTGTTATGATTGGTTAATGAAAACACAGAACGAAATTCTGTGCTAAGAGCTGATGTGAAAAGTCAGTCCACCCTAGTGGGGATTGAACCCAAAACCCCTGGGTTTCCAGGCGATTGCTCTAACACCATAGAAATATGGTCATGTTTTAGGATGTGGGGAAATGATGTGAAATAGTTATGCCATGCAATTGCATTCATATATTGTTATATCAGGGTGCACCTAGTTATACTAAGGCAATCATGCATGTAAACCCTGTCATGTGGAACACCTTTGTAAAAACCATTTTCCACAGTTCTTTGAGCCACTACATTCGAACACCTATAAGTAAAATCTCTTGAAAACTGATTAAGTGGAACTAAGGTGTTCTACGTAGACAAGATTTACTGTATTCACTATGACGCAAGTCTTGAAATCGATTATGTATGTTTTTTCCAAAAATGTTGATGTATCTGTATGTATCTGTATAGTGAGTGGAGGAACAGCATAAATGAGTGCAATAGTGAATAAACAGTTCCCAACTAACTACATATAGGTACACATAAATTGTTTGTTTTATTGGTCGGGTTGTTGACTGTTGCCCTTTGTGCAAAATTAAAGTTTGACTCTCTGGAGTCAGTTTTTTGAGTTCATGACTGAATGAAGTGGCAATTCAGTTCAAAATAGGTGTTTGGTGAAACTGGTAATTTCACAAAAGTGTAATGAACTGTTGTGATCTATTATGTCACCAAGGTGAACTTACAAGGCATCTATAGCGACTACTGTCATCACCATGGCACCCTTAGATTGTGTATTTGTTTGTACAAAATAGTTTAAGTGGCAACAAAGTGACACATTAAAGTGAAGGGTAAGCTTTTAAAAAAGTGTGAGGTGTTCGAGGCCAATAATATTTTTCTGACTTATTTCAGAAAATGCTTTAGTTTTGAATGTTACTCAGCAATAATTCTGAGGACGTCTATTCTACTATTCGCTTTTTGAGTTTAGTTGTAAAGCACATATTGGCATTTGTATTGTCTATTGAAGATTGCCTCCAATATTATTTAACACTCGTATATCATTTGCTGCCACTTTAACAGACTGTACATCACATATAAACCTCCAATCTGCAATCTGATATCATGGTGCCGTATGGTACATTAAGAATGTGGTACTGTATGGTATCATACAAATATGATGATGTTCAGTGTTTACAGTGACATATTATAAGTTATTGAATGATTTGAAGTGCAATACAGGATATATTCTGCTCAAGAAATTCCGTATTGGAACAAGACGAAGTCGAGTGCCAATACAGAATATCGAGACAGAATATATCCTGTATTGCACTTCAAATCATTCAATAACGTTTTTATCGTGTGATCCTCTGTATTGCTACTGAGATTGTCCCTTCCGTACCAATATTTTCTGTATTGCGACGGAGATGATCAATGGGGAAAATCTCAGTAGCAATACAGATTGGTACAGCACAAGAACTGACCAATCAGAGGGCTTCATTTCACAGATCATACGATAAAGAATCATATGGTACCACATTTTACGCTACCATATACTGTAGTACCGTAGCCAAAACGGTACTGTACAGTAGTTTTAGAGTTGACCTTATACATGCACCAATGTACTAAACATTCTACATCACATATATAACACGATTGTTCTACACATTCTTTTAAATGATTATATCATAAAATATAATATATATTATTATATATTTATCTAAATACTTTGTCATATTTATTATTTTTTGATATTTGTTATTTTTTTTTTCCCATTGAAAAGGGGTATAAGCTTACACAGAACATTTTGTCCACTTGTACAAGGGGTGATCAATAAGTAATGGGCGCTTTTTTCATATATCCTTTTTTATGTCACCTCCAAAAAGTGGTGACATATTTTTATTTTCTGTGACGGCGACTGGGAGATGGCAGTTGTTGGTTGGCGTCTGTAAAAAATTCTTACAACTTCCAATAATAATTTAACAAAAGTCTCAGAAGTTCATATCTGACTTTACATTTGAGATTTCACCTTCAATGACCTTCTCATGGTCAAAAAAGGTATTTTTCCAGCTTGCTTCAAATTGACCAAGTTTCTTCTTCAAAATCATGTACAAGTTCTCAAAAGTTCAAATCTGATTATAGCTTTGAGATTTGACCTTTAATGACCTTCTCAATGTCAAAAAAGATTTGACCTATTCAGGGTCAAAAAAGGTCTTTTTCAACTTGCATCAAATCGACCATTTTTTCAAAATCATCTTCAAATTCTCAGAAGTTCAAACCTGACTTTAGATTTGACATTTCACTTTTAATGGCCCACTCCAGGGTCAAAAATGGTCTTCTTTCAACTCTGCAAAAAGGTGACGCACTTGTGTTTTTAGAGTATCGCATCAATGTAACTTTAATTCTTCGGAATATAAGATAATATTCTAATTTAAGTTATATATCATTTTAAAGCTGCATTAATGGACCTTTTATGGTGACAAATAACATGGGGAGTAAATCACCCCCTCCCTCTTTATATTCTTTATATGTACTAGTATATAGCCTACCTAGAATGTAAGAGGAAGGGACTCCCCATGACAGATTACTGAGATTCTAATGTTTGGCCCTTAGACAAATGTTTCATGATCTTCCATTGTAACAGTGACCGACCTTAACTTGGTGAGGCAAATTCCACTAGATAGCCTACCTAACATTTGCCTCAACATTTTTAGAAGGCTCTGTCTGAATAATGGTCCAATGAAGCAATAGAATAAAAAGTTTAAGGCCGAATTAAATGCTAAAATGATATGGATTGCATAGTTTGATGATGTGAATACAAGGAATGTGATCCCTTGTTTGTGCATAGTGTTATGTATATTGAGTATAAGAATTATTGAGTAGATGACGCCACAAAGCACAAAGAGGGAGAGAATGGCTATGATCTGTAGTGTAAAGTATAGTTCATGTCTTTCATTTCTTGACATGGCCCCCGTGTGAATCCTAATTGAGGTCCTCACTGAGCGAATGATAAACATGTTCAATGTAAAGGTGATTGCCACAGGAGTTACCATAGCAACCGTTGATACCATAGCGTAATTTATCATATGTTCACTCCTGATGTTTCCGCAGAAGCGTTTAATAATGTCAATCGTTGCAGAATCAGTCCATTCGACATCGTACACAACGTATCCACATGCCTCGAAATACAGCAATGGTACATTAAACAATATGGACGAGACCATAACCATGGCAACAAGCACTTTTGCTCTAAAGACGGAGAGTATCTGTGGTGCCCTCAAAGGCTTGATAACATAAATGTATCTGTCCACAGTAACTAAGACAACCATCCAAAAGTCAAATGTCTGCGTCCATTGAAACAAAGTCGGTACAAAAACAACAGACACCAGCGTCATTGATACCCCATCATTGGGAGTGTCCCACATTACATACGTAATTTGCATGGTTAGAAACAAGATGTCGGCAACTGCAAGCCATCCTAGAAGACATATCCGTGATGAACGATCTTTCTCTCTCAGGAAAACAGCCAATGCAAGAATGTTACACAGAATCCCTATAGAACTGATGCTGATAACGATGTAAAAGACAACAACAGCAATGTTGTCCCAATCTTGCTGCAAGAAATTAACGGTTGGATCACCGGTTGATAGATTAGAGCTTAGTTCAAGAGAACTATTCATAATTCTATATCGTTGTTGTGAAGAAGTGTTGCTTGTTCATTCACTTTGGAGACAGTATCTTTCCAAAATGTTATCCAGTCTAACTTAAGCGCATTTTAAAAGTAAAATTCATCAAAAAAGTAAAATTCATCAAAAATTCTCGTCTCTGTTTCGGCATGTCCACTCTGTGAAAGCACTTTTTGTTTTAGGTGCTTTTTGTTGGTTTCTATTTTTCAGAGTGCATATCATATGGACATCAGCACTTGATATGTTTTGCATTTGTTTTTAATTTTAGTTTCAGTTGTGTTCTGTAATCTGAAACCTCGTAAACATGTCTCAGATCTATCTCGCTATGTTTTAGTTGCTGTGACCATGGACCTCTGCTGCAACTCAAAGACGTCAGAAATGCTCCAGTTGTCAAATATGACCCCGTGTAAACAATTTAAAGTTGTATTCGGGTCTGCACGAGGCCTACCTGAATTATTGTTGCCAGTCCTATCTCTTGTCGCGTTCTGATGGTTTTGTTCTGATGAAACAAAGACATGTAATAGCGTTTTACATGTCTGATTGAAATAACTCAGTAATTAATAATCTCTTACTGTCCATGTTGAAAATGTAGGATCTGCTTTTAGCGTGCCACATTACATGTATTTTTATTCAAACATGAATGTACCAAAAATAAAAGTTTGGTGTCGGTGTACTTGTTTGTGATGTCAAGCTGACTTGCATGGACTGCATGTATGTTGACTGATATCATGTATCATCTGTATACGCCTCACAGCCTCTTTATTATCTATAGCTAGAGATTTTTTGTATCCGTATCCGGGCTTGAAAGACGAATATTGGGGTTTTAAATTTTATACTAGTAATTCAAATTATTGCTAGAATATTTCAGATGATTTTAAGGAAAATTGTTTCGGTACTTTTGGCTAGTTATAGTTCGCGCTTATTGCTTTAAAATGTAGCAATCTAGGATGTAAGAAGTTCCCTTTCCATGATTTCATAAGATCATGAAGATGTAATCCGCAGAATCTTCGGCATTTTTGGCATACGCGTGTGATAGCATCGTATGTTTCAGAAACTTATGATCGTTTCGGAACGAATGATCTGAGACGCTGTTAATCGTTTTCATGTTCCCTTAGTCAATATCGTTTTCGGCATCTCCGTGAACTATTGCGTTCGCAAAAGCTAAGAAGCTCTAAGATTATGATGCTGACATACGTTTCTGACGTTTGCCTCTAAAAAGCTTTTTGCCTACATCTGGTGAATCATGGAAAAAGAGTCATACCTTCGAGGCTGCGACAATTATTATCGAAACGGATCCGTTAGTAATAATGTGCGTGCCGTGCGGGTGTGCGTGACAGTTTATTTCAACTTATATATTTTTGAAACCAATAAATGGCGTCCACGGTGATTTTGAAGACACTTCCGAATGAATCCTTTTAAAAAAAATAGTGTTCAAAATTTTGTCCATCGTGGGGGGGCAGTTTCTAATGGGAATTACATTAAGGTTCCTAATATATGTTTTACAACTGCACTTTAGAAGAGAGAAAAAAAACTTTCCCAAATTATTACAATGAGTGATGTAAACGGTGGAGAAAAAAGTTTAAGCTTAAACATTAGTTTTTATAAGAAAAATTAAAAGACCCGATACATCTTGTGGGTTTACGAAAAACACCGACCACCGACCAGTCACTCTTCACAGTTGGGTACATGTGGTCGGTGGTCGGCTGACGGTCTTTTACATAAAGATGAAAAAATGCAAAATTAGAAGTAAAACTAAAACTGGGAATCCGATTTAAAACGTATAATTAATCATTTCAAATCACGATGAAAACGTTACATCGTCGTGGTGTGTAATGTCATATTTTTAAGTGATGTTTCAGTTGTTAGAAGACCAATTTCATCCTGGTTAGTCACTTTGGAAAAAAGCGCACGTAACATTGCATTAAGTTCATTCATATGAAACGCAATAACAAAAACACACAAACATCGTCGATGTTGACGTCGTAACGTTATGTTTGATAAACGTCAACTGGTAAAAACTACATTTGATATGACAAAAAAAGCTTTCTAATGGTGTACTGAAATGGTAAGTCACTTTTAATCCCGATAAGAGAACGCATGTAGCATTCGTGTTCAGTATTCAGTAGGCTATGACGATAACAAATCATTTTTGTTTCAAATCTCATAAAAAGAAACGATAGAATGGTTAATGATAGGTTAGGACCTAAGGCAGGACAATTAATCGAGAGGAGACGGATGCCCAATTTCTTTGCTTGCCATTCGTTGCAAGGTACAAAATCGGTAAAACGTTGCCTAGTCAAACGATTGACATTCAAAATCAAATCATTAATATTTTAAGGCTACAAATATGTTCGGTCTTTTACATGATATGGTCGGTCTTTTACACATTTTCTTCAAACCCTGTTTTGAGGCTACCAGTGGAAAACACCGACCGGTCGGTGGTCGGTGGGGTCGGTCTTTTTCGTAAACCCACATCTTGTAGATAGCTTCAGAGTTATGATGCTGAACACATATGTACGGTAAATATAATGACAGTAAAAAAGTGGGACATTTAGAGTATGACAGCCTATACTCTGCAGCGCGCAGGTTGTAAATTGCGTGGACAGAAGTTAAGCGTTATGTTTAATTTGTTGAACTAGCCTGATGTAACCGAACTGGCGGATCCAGGCCAGTAGTGGGCCTTTTTGGGCATTACTTGGCTTTTTTGGGGTTTTCAGATCATAATGGGCTTCAAATTTCCAAATTATGGGGCCAATTTTTGAATTTAAAGGCCCAAAATGTATTCCGCGCAAAATTGTTAGCTTCTGATTCCACCGGTGACTGTGAGCCCAAGAAAAAGTGTATGTAAAATGTAAATACATCTATTTTTTATAAGTTAGTTATCAAACTTTTCTCGCTAGGCTAAATGAAACGATTGGTTTGGCAGTTTGGAGTGCAGGGCCTGGAGTTCTGAAGCTGAGATGATTTCATGTTATTGAAATGGAAATTTAAAATTATACGCATTGATAGATGGCAGCACATTCCGAGCACTAACCGGAAGTCACTGATTTGACAATAAGCTCACAAGGTTTTCAAAGTTTGAAAAAGTGAGGGAATATTTCGTTTGATAGCGAGAATGATAAAGAAAGTGTAAGCAGAAGTAAGATACTACCAAACGGTAAGTATAATGATACATATAAGAAGATACATTATTGTGCAAGTGTTTTTATATGTAAGAAGTTTGAAGAGTCTCAAGTTTGGGATCGATTTCGATTTTTGATTTTTAAATTTTTTATTGAGCAGCAGCTAGATCTAGGCCTAGTAGCCTACTAGATCTAGTACTGTGTACTTCACAGGCTGGCTGCTTCGTTAGAATTTAAAAAGTAAGACTTAGCTAAAGATTGAGATTGCAACTTGCACTTAGGCTACCTCTTACATAGTTTAAAGTGACTCTAACGTATATATGATGCTCAAAATAAAGAGAACTAAAATTCAAATGTGTTCGGTTATATCGCATATCAAAAACTTGTCAGGGAGCAAGTCTGTTTCACAGTTATTCAATACGTACATATTTAATATTTCTTGGATATGGTGCTTATGCTCTTTGTTCAATGGTTGATTGGTCTGTCTATTCATGAGGTAGCCTATAGTGCATTTATGCTAGCATTATGATCCAAATGTACACACATGACTCAGATGAGCATTGTCAGAGTATATATCAAATCAGATGAAGGTTGTCATAGTGAATATCAAATCAGATGAAGGTTGTCAGAGTATATATGAAATCAGATGAAGGTTGTCAGAGTGAATATGAAATCAGATGAAGGTTGTCAGAGTATATATGAAATCAGATGACAATTGTCAGAGTATATATCAAATCAGATGACGTTTGTCTGAGTACATATCAAATCTACATATCAACATATCAAATCAGATGAAAGTTGTCAGAGTATATATCAAATCAGATGACGTTTGTCAGAGTACATATCAAATCTACATATCAACATATCAAATCAGATGAAAGTTGTCAGAGTATATATCAAATCAGATGACGTTTGTCAGAGTACATATCAAATCTACATATCAACATATCAAATCAGATGAAAGTTGTCAGAGTATATATCAAATCAGATGACGTTTGTCAGAGTACATATCAAATCTACATATCAACATATCAAATCAGATGAAAGTTGTCAGAGTATATATCAAATCAGATGACGTTTGTCAGAGTACATATCAAATCTACATATCAACATATCAAATCAGATGAAAGTTGTCAGAGTATATATCAACATATCAAATCAGAGGACAGTTGTCAGAGTACATATCAAATCAGATGACGGTTGTCAGAGTACATATCAAAATAGATGACAGTTCTCAGAATATCAACATATCAAATCAGATGACAGTAAATCAGATGACGATTGTCAGAGTATATATCAAATTAGATGAAGGTTGTCAGAGTATACATCAAATCAGATTAAGGTTGTCAGAGTACATATCATCAAATAAAGGTTGTCAGAGTTCATATCAAATCAGCTGATGAAAAACTAAAAAATCTAAAATGGGTTCCATATAAGTGTCACATGGTTAATTTTCAAGTACTCAAAAATCATTACCCATATAGTCTTCAATCTTTGATTTGCACATAGAGTGAATTTGAACTTAATAGGTTTAATCATTAGATTTGTGTGAAGTGTATAAAAATGAGACAATTCAGTGAACAACATGGGATAACGTCACTTGTTGATCATGTGGATGTAATTTCTGGAAGGGGGAAGCCATGTCTAGGGGATCTCCAACAATTCTCCCAGTGATGCCATGGTGATATTTTGTTTAAGTGTGGACATGCATAGATAGAGATCCCATAATTTTTTCTAAAAGTGAAACATTACAAAGAATGCAAGTTCTAAATGTCAAAGTTATCTCATTTTTGTAAAAAAGTAAGTTTTCAAAATATACTTTGATAATGATCTGTGAGGCATTAATTTTAGATTATATTAAGATATTTTGAGTTTGAAGGAATGAATATCAATACTTTTTGAGTATGAGTAGTAATTATGTGTAGGTTATAGAAACATTTACTATTTGTAAAAACAAGGTAAATTGCTCCTGGTAATGGGAATTATTTTTTCTCTCTCATTGACACAAGGAAATGGTTGCAATAGTTGCAATTCACCAATTCATGCTTTGTTTATTCTCTAGTTTATCTAATCAAAGTTAGTATGATTGTGTTTATAACAAGTTAA